TTGGTTTATGGAAATATTCTACGTCTACCCACGATGGTCCATTTAAAAAGATCAGAGGAATCGATAAAACTATCACTGCAGATAAAGCTGAAAAAATGGATGTAATTAGCGTCGACCGAGTCAAACCAGATTTCATTAAAAGTGACGATCAGCAAATCCTTTGAAAATCATCGAATCACCGAAACGCGAGTTCCAACCATCAGTGACAGCAACGAAAAAAAACAGCAGAGTCTGTTAATGACTAGGTATGGTCAAAGAGCCAGATGTCCTTAACTATATATAGCTACGATTTTGAATTGATAATTTCTTTCGCCACTTCGAATAATAAAAACAATTTTTCTCTTCACGTCGTATATGAACGTTAAAAATTACAACTCATCTACTACTTAATTCGACACATTTGAGTATTCTGATGTCAAGATGTATAGACTTCTGAAAACATTGCCATATTCTTTTGATCTTCTGTTATTATCTGACCTCGTGAACGTACATGAACTCAAAGTTGCATGAACAGGATAACTTTATTTTACATCTTAATTTCGTAAATTTTGATATTTTGTGATGTTTTTTTCACAAACATACACTTTGGTATCTTTGTTTGCTAAGGGGAATGTATTGTAGCACCTTAAATATATTTTGTACTTTTTTCATTGTTTGTATGCTTGGGCACTGCTTACGGCCTACGCAAATAGTCATTCGACTAGACTTATTGATCAGTTGTTTAAATAATTCGTATATATATATATATATATATATATATATATATATATATATATATAATAAATACGATAATTGTATCAGTGATTATATATTTTGAATAACAAAGAAATCGCGGAAACAACTCGTGATTTGTAGTAACGGTCATCAGAACGGCGATATACGAACACAATCTGCACGTAAAAACCATCGCAATGATTTAACAGTATAACTAATCTTTTCAGTTAGTAGTTCTCTTTTCTGAGATCTTGGTGGTTTGGACATGAATATTTAATTAATAGGCAAGTTATTTCTGTTCTCACCATTATAAATTCAGTATTTGATTGTAAAAAAATTTCATAATATTGTTGACTTGTACTAAAAAGGACTTATTTAAGTTAAATTTCTGATAATAACAAACAATAATAATTCAAACCTAAGCATCATAGTTAAATAAAATATTAGATATTTGAATTCAGTAGCTCAATGGTCAAATCATTATACCTTTGGAAAGAAAAATTCGGAGTTCAAGTCCGATTCTGAAAATCAATACCGGGATTCAGATAAGTACAGCTGACCAATATCAACTAGGATGAAATGCTCCTTAGTATTAGTGGTTGATACAGGTTAAAAGAAACAAGAAAATAAATCTATAAGATTACACTGAAATAACTACTAATTTTTAAAGTTTTCAGTTTATTGATGACCTACGGACAGGATAGAAATCTCGTAGACCCAGGATCATTAAAACATCCAGCAAAGATAGAAACAAAGGGTTACAATGAATGTCACTCAGTGTTATGTGCCTACCGACGATACCATTGAGGACGATAAAGATCAATTCTACTAGAGGCTGCAGTCAATCGTAAAAAAATGTCAAGCAAAGGATGTGACTATTATGATGGGAGACCTACATGCATAGGTTAGAATGAACAATACTACAGATGAAAACATCATGGGACGACGTGGACTGGGAGAATGGAACATAACGGTGAGAGATTTGCAAACCAATGTGGCACCATATTCCCATGCAAAAACATACACAAAGTGATATGGGTTTCACAGGATCACACTACACAGAACTAAATTTACCACATCTACATCAAAAGTTCAGAAGGACCATGGAGGACGTGAGAACCAAAAGGACAGCTGGAAGCTTCAGATCACCACTTGGTAGTGACCAGGATGGAAATGAAGCTCAAGAAATACTGAGCAACTGGTTGAACAGCATCACAAAAGTTTAATGCGGTCTTTTTTCAGGATGCTAGCAAACTCAATGAATTCAAGATAACTGTCAGCAATAAGTTTCAGGCCTCTCACGATCTACTCAGTGAAGAGGAAACTACCATGAAGAGCAACTGGAAACGGATTGAAAAAGGAATAACTTCAGCATGTAATGATGTTCTGTGCCACAAAAAGTACCTTAGCAAGGAATGGATATCTGTTGATACTATGGTTAAGATTCAAGAAACGAATAATAGGTAGAAAGTAATCAATGTCAACCTAACAAGAGCAGAAAAATCAAGGAAACGAGCCGAACGCACGAAAGCAAACAAGTAAGTGATGAGGAACATCAAAGCTGATAATCGTAAATATGTGGAAGATCTATCAGTGATAGCGGAAGATAGTGCAAGTGAAAGAAACACCAGACAACTACACGATACAGCAAAGAAGCTCGCTGGATATTATAATAAACTGGAACGAACAGTGAAAAGCAAGGAAAACCAAGTAATCATCAAAATTGATGAATAGTGAAACAGATAGGTAGAGTATTTTGAGGAGCTCTTGTATCGACCAGCCCCACTGAACCCACTCAGCATCGAAGCAACACCCACGGACCTCCTAATTAATGTCAATTCACTAACAATTGAAGAGATAAGCATGTTCTTCAAGCAGATCAAGAACAGAAAGCTAATGGCTGAAGCATACTAGCTGAGGCATTGTAACGATATATAGCAGTGACTACATAGTTTCTGCAGATTCTTTTCAGAAAGATTTGGGAACAAGAATAACTAACAGCAGGCTGGAAAGAACACTTGATCAAGAAAACGAAGAAAGATCTCATCAAGTATAGGAACTGCAGAAGTATCAATCACTCTTCTATCAGTATCAGCAAAAGTCTTCAACATAGTGTTGTTAAATAGAATGAAAGATCACGTAGACGCCCAAATTCGAGATCAGCAGGCTGGATTACGTATCGATCGTGTACCGAACAAATTGCTACATTACGGATCATTGTGGAACAATCAATTGAATAGAACTCACCACTATACATCAACTTCATTGACTATGAGAAAGTATTTGATAACGTGGACAGGAAAACATTATGGAGGCTTCTTCGACACTACAGCATGCCTGAAAAGATATTCAACATCATACGGAATTCTTTTGATGGGTTAGACTGAGAAATTGTTCTCGGAGGACAGCCGTCCAACTCGTTTGAGGTGAAGACCGGTGTCAGGCAAGGTTGCTTACTCTCACCCTTTCTCTTTCTCCTGATGATCGACTGGATTATGAAGATGTCAACATCTGGAGTGAAGCACGAGATACGGTGGACAGATAGGATGCAGCTTCGCAGATGATCTGTCTGTTCTATCACACACGCAACAAAGAATGCAAGAGAAGACAACTAGTGCAGCAGCAGCTTCAGAAGCAACAGGTCTCAACATACATAAAGGGAAAAGCAAGATCCTCTGATAAAACGCTACATGCGTCAACCAAATCACTCTTGATGGAGATGCCTTGAGAGACGTACAAACGTTTACATATCTGGGCAGCACCATCGACAATCAAGATGGATCTGATGCAGATGTAAAGATACGGATTGGCAAAGCAAAGACAGCATCTCCACAACTTAAGAACATCTGATACTCAAAACTACTAACCAAGACTAAGGCCAAAACTTTAAACAGAAACGTCAAGATAGTTCTACTGTACGGTTTGGTAACTTGGAGAACCACGAAAGCCATCATCCGGAAGATACAAGTGTTTATTGACAGTTGTCTAAGCACGATCCTGAGGATCCGTTGGCCAGATACCATCAACAACAGCACACCGACATATTGAGTAAAGTACCCAACTGCGTCACAAGACAGGCACCTTTACTTGGAGTCCTCAAGGTCAAAGGAGAAGAGGAAGACCATAAAGATATTACATTGAGAATAGGAAGCAGAAAGTGAAAGAATGAACAGCATTTGGGTGGAACTGGAAAGTAAGTCCCATGACAGAGAAGGTTGGAGGATGTTGGTCGGCAGCCTATGACTCCATTAGGGGTACCAGGTGCAAGTAAATTTTATTTAACGGAAAGAGTAATTCTATGGTTAGCTAATGGATTAAGTTGATTCATGGATGATTGGTGTGGATTAACTGATTTGGATATAGCTGATAGTTATTACGAAACCATAATAACAGTTCATTATCGACTAGTGTAGTAAAATTCTAAGGCTAGATATTATTACCAAACAAAGCGTATAAGAACATTGCACATCGGTTTCACAGATTCCATTACTCAGCCTGATTAATTAACAGTAGCACTAGTTGATTGATTAATTCTATGATATTTGCTTTTACTAAAAGCTTCTCTCTAATTTGAAAAGTTTCGTCAATCAAAAAAGATGTATCACCAAGTAGTATAATTATTCTTTCATCCTTACTATGGTATTATTATTGTCTACGTAATTTTATCAAGTAAGAAATTAACACTGTCAGATACCGGCTCAGTGGTCCGATGGTTAGGCGTTCGCGCACAATACCGAAGGTCCTGGGTTCGAATCCTATGAGATGCAGGAGTCATGGATGCAAGCTGCTGATGAGTTCCATACCAGGACGAAACGGCCTTCCAGTGCTTTTAGGTTTCTAATGGTGGTCTAACATTGATCAATTCATGGTTTCAAAAAATCCGAGATATATGTTTATATTTTCTTTTGTAAATTAAATTACCAACTAGCTATGGTATATTTGCATTCAACTTTACTATCATCCATGCTATATTGTCTGGTCAAATGTTTTGACTTGCATAATATTCTACAAATGACATATATCAATGTTAGTAATTCTTAACCAATCAGAAATTGAACATTCGTAACTGGATTGGTTTGATGGAAACAGCCGATCAACAGTACACCTACGTAGTTTGATTTTTTTTGCTTCATACCTTTCAGAATATAATGACAATAATGTTGTTTTGTGTTTTTTTTTTCAAATTTGATTCGCCGCTAAATTACTTTGCATTCATATTCAATGTTCATAAATATTAAACAGTGAACAACAGTTAAATAATCAGAAAAATATTTATCATTATTTGAATGTGTTCAATTCCTGTAGAAATACTATATCGTATTTATCATCAACTTGATATAAAAGATTTAGAAAACTGTTCACTTGTCTGTAAACAATGGAATACATTAATTAATGATTTGCATTTATGGTTACCGAGATGTTATGAAAAATTACAAACACATCAGTGGATTGATTCAAATTTATTGAGTTTATTAAAATTATGCGGTATATATGATATGAACATATTTGTTCAAGAACAATCTATACCATATCAAAATAAATTACACTTTAAATCAGGATATTATATGCGAAAGTTATTCTACTACTTACAATTAATATCAGATGATAGTTATCATTATGAAGATCAAGTCATTACAGATCATGCTGAAAATATGATAGTTTATTATAAATGTGTAATGATTGGTCCCGGTATGGATTCATCCACAATAAATCGTTGTATAATAAATCATCTGATGAACTGGTCAATATGGGATCAATTACCAGATGATTTTATTATGCCTAATCCTTATTTAGGTGTGAAAACTAATTTAATTGGTAAAAATATTATGATTCAGGTGCCTAAGTTGAATAATTCTTCACTGAATACTTTAATTAAAATGACTTGTATTATTCCTCGAAACGGTGAGCTACTAGAAGATAGAAATAGAATGTCTGGACAATATATACTTGATAGTGAAAAAAATGACTGTAGTATTGATAGAATTACTTTATTACCAGAGATTAGTATTTTGCTAAAAGACTGTCATCTCATATTGTATACCATTGATATTAGAATATCAATAGTGATCGATTTAGACTGGGAACAAGTTACAAAAGAGATTATAATCATATTGAATGATTTGACCAATCAGCAAAGTTTATTGATTATTGGATTGGGTGATGAAAATGGTGAGGAGGAATGTATCACACTTGTGGATCTTGTGAATAAATTACAATGTATTTTCTTTAAGAATTCTGCTTTTGATAGTGTAAGCGAACAAATGCTAGCAAAGATACCTAATGCTCAATGGAGAGTATGGTTGACAACGTCCAATGGAATGAACTATGATAATTTGGTCGAAATGATCAATTGGGGTTTGTACAGGAATAACAGTCATAACAACAACAACAACAACATAAAAGTGTAATTACTTCAATTACTTCGTTCGAAAAATTACTTCGTTCAATAATTTTAACACTTTATGAAGCACTCTGGGAATAATAGTCGTTTCTACCGTTTTCAGTATTATGAATATGTTTGCTGAAGATATTTTCTCTCGTTTCCATGGTTATGTTACATGACAATTTTTCTTTGATTCAATTTCATTATTGTTAACATCACGAAAATTGTTAACTGAATGTGATCCATTTTAAATCTCTGTTGTATATAATTATGCTTCTTGTCGTGCAATATAGCAATTATCAACTTTGCCAAACATATCAGACTGTTGTAATTGTGAAAGTGAATAATTACATAATTCATTGAGAAATTTCATTATTTAATAATTATTATTTCCCATAACTAATGACTTTAATCTTATGGGATAAAATAAATTCAAAAGATTTTCAGTTTCTTTAGGGAATTATTTATTTAAAACAAAAAAAGACATGAAAGTAAACTAGAACAAAACAGAGAATCCTTATTAGTCTAATATGTTGTTATTTGTCTGATAAATATTCAAACTTTCCATCATTCAATTCAACTTCATCAAAGTTTTATAAGTGGAAATGGATAGTGATTGATTGATTGATTGTTCAATTGCAGTCTTAACTGTCATTGGGAAAATTCAAATGACCAAATATCAATTAGTTGACTAAAACTACATGGAATATTGTATAAAATGATGATTGATGTAACAACAACTTATGAATGAATAAATTAAAGAATGCTGATTCCTGAATGAACAAAAAATTGCGAAGAAATCTTATCCATTCATTTATGTTGTAGTATAATATGTCATCAATTAAGGTTCAATGACTTCATAGATTAATGATTGATTCATGAACCATGAAATTTCATTCACTTTAACAAAAGAATCATGTGACTAAAATGAATGCAAAATTTGTATTTTTTATGTCATGTTGTTATAAAACTTATGTTGAGATTATGTCCGACAGCATCACAGATTACTTAAAAATACACGTGTATTTTAAAACTAACCTGAAACAGTTATATTATTTCAATCTAATGATATTGTTCGTGCTTGCTATGTATCTTTTGCACTTCTTATTAACATTTAGTTAGATTGTTTATTGAACCATGTGATTGATTGACCTTGTCCTCATGGATTACTCTCTATAGACATAAATCTTGATTACATATTGGTTTGTACTTATTGTTAAAAATTGTCTCAATCGTTAAATAAAAGAAAAATAAGAAATTTAGTTAATGATGTGAGCTCATGCATGACAAAATAATCAATCTTTATCAACATAATGAGCCTACCTCAATTGGATACTATGAAAACCCTAAAACCATTGAACATTTTTTTTGTCATATGATGAGAGTCTTCATCTGCAGGCATTCTTGACCTCAGCTTAAATGTGTTCATAATCTTAAGGAAATTCAAAATCTCCACAACCCTCATATTGTTATTAAATCTTATCGGAAAGGAAATAATGATATGTAAATTACACCCACTGACTTGAATTTATTGTCTTCATTTTTAAAACTACACTGATATTCAATATAGGAGGTTTGTGAAGATCATTCTACGTAGGGTTGTGGATCTATACCAATGAAGAGTCTCATTTATGGATGAAACATCCGTCCAATGCTTCCTGGTTCCAAATGGTTATCGAAATTATGCCATTTAGTGATCGCAATATCCTGCTGGTAATATTTGTCAAATTTGTAATGAGTAATATTGAACTATGAAAATCAATATGATTTACGTTCATCAGAAAACTAGACAGTTTTTATCTCTGGAATGAGAGTTAGTCAAGTAAATTTGAGAATTTTGCTTTACTGACAAACTTTAATTGAAAAATTTGTAATTTTATCATTTTTAGTTTTTCTTTTCAATCAAATGCAAATTCCTGCATTCAGTTCTAATCTGTCCATTAGTGTAAGAATAGAATTTTTATTAAAAAAAAATAAAGCATCACGTTGTTTTAAGCAACCACACGATTAAGTATTGATAAAATTAACTAGTAAAGTATGCGTTTTGTTTGTCTATGTGTATGATCTGACTGATGCATTGTTCATTTTTGTGATGATTTTATTGAAAAATTTGTTTATTTTACTTTGTTGTTTGTATTTCATGGATTGATATTGTATCTTGAACAGAAAATAATTGCTCTCCTTTCACACTACTGGTATGCTAGATAAGTGTTATACTTGCGCTAATTAAGATGTAACTAGATATCGGCTAACAGAACAAAAACCAATGACACAAACAGCAAAACTGCTTATCTATTCTCTTCAGCTCAACTCAGCCAACCAAACAAAGCATGAACTCCAATGTCAGTACAAAGAGTGTATAATCCCCAAACAGCTCAGAGCAAACGAACTAACAAACATTCAATTCAAGTGTAATTTGTACAGCACAGTACAAAATAGAACACTAAAAGAGAAAACTAACTAATTAGTATTAGAGTCCTTCCAAATGGGAAGCACAAACTGAAGATAATAAGGGGCTCTTTTGGTACAAAAATGAGAATTTCAAATTTCTAAAAGTAAATCGAGAAATTAAGAGGATTACTGTTACGCCTGCACGTAAACACGTCATTTTGATCTGCTTGAACTATTACGAGTTTACCTAGTCGGAAAACGAGAGCGAGGATCGAGGATCCGGCGACACGACACGTTATTCTAATCCGATCATCCCAACCCCCATATTGAGTAAAATAAGAAGACTTGATATGAAGTAGAACCTGTATTCTACAACCATCCAGAAAGTACGAGGTCCGAATCCAGAAGAGAATCAGGATCCCGAGCTAGGGATCCGGGACCGGGACCAGGTCCTGGTCATAAATCGTCACAGATAATGCGTATTTATACATTTTGGTCGAATATGAAACAGCATCGAAGTCTGTGACATTGACAGTTAAGACGACCGATAGGAAACAACATTTGAAGTGACATTGATAGTCAGGACAACCAATAAGAAATAACACTGGAGCACGTGACATTGATATCTAGGACGACCATAAAATTGACCAGTAGGAATTAGCCACTAGGAATTGACCAATAATTCTCTTAGGATATTGCATGAATATCCTAAAAATTACCAAGTGATTGCTGGAAATCTATCATTCTCAATATTAATAGAACTGATCAAGATGAGAACTGAGTAACGTCTCTGACAAAATTAAGCCGAGTGTCATGTCAACACATTGCTAAATTTATGGCTAAACCTTAATTTAAATCGCTTAGATTGGGAACCGAATCTTGGTTAATAAATTCTCATACATGAAATCAAATTTTTAAGGAGTGTTTTTATCTGAGATTCTGTCGTTTTATTTACTAAAAATAAACTATTTGTAACCTAGTCTTCATTGTACAGTACATTTTTAGATATTTTTCAAATAATTTCCACCTAACTCCTTATCGCATCGGTTCCGTAGACATGTTCTAAACATTGTAGTCTGTAAAAATAAATGCAGTTGACTACATGATGACAGAATGAAACTACCTGGCTTCTGCTAGCTTGTATCACTTGTAGCGTAGAAAATATGACCACCTACCAGCTAATAAGTGAGTATACTACAAGGTTATTCGTCAAGTTCTATGTTTTGAGTGTGAAAATTGCGATGGGTTTCGGCACTTCATCAACCCACACATGGTTGCTGACGATAGAAGTAGAATGTCCGACCACTTCGTTGACTACGGTCCTCAAATACTCTTTAATTTTGTAAGTTTGTTCTGATTTACCTTTTTATTTTTGCCTCCTTTTTCGTCACCAATTGGATAATTTTTAAGTCTATTAGGTCTATTTATACGGTTTTATTTGAATTACATAACGCTAGATTCTGATAAACCTTGAGAACCTGTGTTATTATGCTACAGCAGTTCTTTGCTTTAATACTCACCAGCTAATGTGAAAGATAAATCAAAATACGAATATATAGTTCTAGTAAATAAGATGGTTGGAAAGAAACATTTTTCTTGAGTGAACTGTTTTCTTTTTGCTTAATGACATAATAAGTTTCTTTCATTAGTTCCTATATATTTTGCGAAATGACCCATGCATGAACTTTGTATTTTGATGATAAGTTAAACTAATGGTAAACATGATTTCTTGCGAGTCGTTTTTATCTTATTTATAGAATTATTTGTTTTTTTCAAAAAGAACAGAAAATAATTAAAACATGTAAAATACTATTTTCGTGTAATCTGGAAACATGACATACTCAATCGTTTATTTTTTTTGAAAAAGATTTTACTAAATTTTTTATTGTTGCCCTCCTGAATCGTTTATTGCATACATTAAGTTTCGCATAAATAAATCGAACATAACTGTCATCAGTGTGTACTAATTAAACTACATTTGATGAGGCCAGCTGAAGAGCGTAAGTGATTCGTATGATGAACCTGTTTTCTCACACTTACTTACTCCTGTTACCCCCAATGGAGCACAGGCCGCCCACCAATTTTCTCCAACCAACTCTGTCCTGCGCTTTCCTTCCCAGTTCCGTCCAATTTTTGTTCATTCTTCTCATGTCTTTCTCTATTTCTCGGCTTAATGTGTTCCTTTGTATTCCTCTTTTCCTTTTGCTTTGAGGGTTCCATGTGAGGGCTTGTCTTTTGACTCAGTTGGGTGCTTTTCGCAGTAAGTGTCCTATCCACTTCCACCGCTTCTTCCTGATTTCCTCCTCCACTGGAATCTAGTTTGTTCTCTCCCACAGTAGCTTGTTGCTGATGGTGTCTGGCCAACGAATCCGAAGTATTTTGCGTAGACAACTGTTATTGAATACTTGTATCTTCTGGATGATGGCTTTGGTAGTTCTCCAAGTTTCCGCTCCATACAGTAGAACTGTATTGACATTTGACATTCTCCACTAATTCGGGAAAAATTGTATAAACGTACTACTGCATATTTTATTTCTGTTCGCTTATATATTTAAAAGCATATTCCAACTTTTTTGTTGGTATTCATTTATTCCTCTATAATTTGGAGGCTAAGTAGTTGTATGTAGATCGTCTTAAATATAGATTTTGTGCTTGTTAAAATTCTTTAGCAAGATCGAATTTCAAAGTTGATAGAAGTCATTATCCTCGTGATATTTTTATATCCAGCTCCCCTGCTACCACAATTAGATGCGTTATAACTAAGTCAAACTTTAATTTAGTTCATTCTATAGAGACGCTGTTCATTGTGTATTCATATTCGATATCACAGTGTTCAGATACTTCGTAATTCATGAGAATTCACTTCATACCAATCAATAATTCTGATTTTTCACTAGTATTCGCTAGTTTTCCTTTGATTGCTAACTATCAATATTGATATTGAACTAAATTTGTCCGAAAATATTATCTTTTACATTGATTGCATTCATTAAAAGTGAAACAACCACTGTAAACTAACTATATATGATAATTGAACGGAAATTAATTTCAGGTCGGTAAAATAATCATTTCAAGGTGAAGGTCATTGTTTCATTATTTCACTGACTATCTGTTAAACAGTTTTCAAAATATCATAAAATGTTTTAAACAAATGAAATATACTGATGAAGTTTGATTTAATTGTTTCGACGTATACAGTCAGAAAATTAAGTTTTATTTCAATATATCTATGATTTTCAATAACTAAAACTGTTACAGTCAACTGACCGAAGTTCGTTAGTTGCGGCATCTGAAATGCATGCATTTTAACTTTGGAAAGAAACCTTCAGTTTCCGAAAAAATTAAACCTCTCCATTTTTATCAAAAAACTCTATTTTCAGATAAATATAAAAAATCTACCGAATCACCACTAGCCAACTAAAAAATAACATCTAGTAGTATATCGATAAAAAGCTAATTTTTTTTATTAAAAAAAATACCATATCAGAATGATGAACAAATCAACTGACATTTTTAAAAATAAACATGAAATGTTAATTATAATTGTTAGAAAAAAAAGAACGCAACGAAATAACAATTGCGAAACTGATGAATTTGTAATTCTCTGTTATCGCTGGTGATATGTTTCTTTGTAATGACTGAAATACTATCACAATTAGAGTGTTGAATATGCATTCTTCTATTCTAAGACATTGTTCAATAGTGTTGTTTTCCGATTGCCACTAACTACACTGATTGGTGCAAATGGATGATTTGTTTCTTTTAAATAATCCTAAAGAATTTATTCATACATGGTAAAAATTAATCATGAAAATATTTATAACATTAATTCACAAATGAAAATAAAAATGGCGAGCCAAACTATGCTACTTCACAAACAGACGTTAATGTCACTAGTGCTTGACTGTTGAAAAGTGACTAAATATTATGTTTGTCAAGTAATTTGATATTAACCGAATTTTACTGATCAGGATCTGATGAGACCATTCAAGAACGTGTCACTACATTGAGATATTAGATGGTTCGAGGAAGTCGACAGGATATCTTAGACCACTGAGCTGTAAATATTTTAATCCTACAGGAAATCACTCATCCTCAGAATAACTCAAGTGTAACGTTTCAGATTGGATAAGGCAGGTTTAAATATTGCAGAGAGCATCAGTTCGACCAAGATTGAGGATACATCTCACTGACAAACATCGAATAGCATGATACCTGGTTTCAGAGTTTCTTGTCGTTTACTTCCAACCATGTAGTAAACTTTGATCTTTCCATCAAATATGATTATGAGGTTAAAGTTTAAATTTCACGAGGTAATTGAATTAGAATTTGCAAATATGTCGGATTAGCTGGTTGATTCCAAGTTTTACAAACATGCTTTTTGTTTATTTCTGATTAGTTTGTTCAATATAAAATAGTAAATACTAAGTTCTTTTGTCTGATTAGATTTATGTTGTATACATTTTGATTGGTGACATAACTCTGATAGAGACTAACATCAAATGTAGAGTATTACATAGTTTACATGGTTTAAGGTACACATCCACAATCCTGGACCTTATCAAAACTTGAACATGTAAGTTTTGAAGCAAGCATGATTTGTTAAGGCGAATTAGTCAAGATTCTGTAATTCATGTTTTCGATCTCATTCAATTTATGATACAGAGTCATTATCATTTAATTTTTTTCGTATCGTATTAATAAATCGTTAAACAAATTAATCCTGCTTGATGAAGCATAGGTAGTATAGGTAGCAAAGTATAGTTTATCTTCTTGAAGCCCAAACTGTATAAAATAAAATTCTGACTTCTGCAATAATGAAGTATTTATTCATACTGTATATTACTTCCAACAACATTGAATTGAAATAAGCATCTCAACTAACAGAAAATAACTTGTGAATGATAAATGTTTATATAGAGATGCGTTTGATCGGCCACTACGTTTCTGCTAGTTAAGAAAACAGTTCTAGATAGAATTGAAATACTACTAATAACCTATCGACAGAAATTGACCAATACTAGTTTAAATTTACTTAGAATTTGATGGATCAAGTGCTGATTTTGATGTTCGAAAGAAACTGGTAACAAAAACTGGCTAGATTTCATGTTAGTGCTAATGTGTTTTCTCAAAAGTACTCTCTACCGTTAAAGGGATGGAATTTTGTGTACTGTCATTCGTTGACGCAAATATATTAAATAAATAATCATCTGTTGGGGATGCTAGATACTCAGAAATGACTTGGTAATCTTCTTAATTTTATATTTTATCTTGGAAATTCAAATTACTTATTTTCATTCAAAAAGCACCCCTGACTACCTACAGTTTGTGTTCTCCATTTAGAGGGACCCTCGTTGGTTAGTTCTCTATTAGTATTCCGTTTTGTAACTCATCCCAAGACTCCCATCGTACTGTAATGCACAAATTACACTTGAACTGAATGCTTGTTAATTCGTTTGTTCGGAGCTGTTTGTGTGTTATACACTCTCCCTATTGACCTTGGAGTTCATGCTCTGGTTAGCATAGTTAGGCTGAAGAGAAGAGATAAGCTGTTTTGCTGTTTGTGTTATTGGTTTTCGTTCTGTTAGGCGATATATAGTTACATCTTAATTAGCACAAGTATAGCTTGTTCAATATTGAATTTATGGCTTTTAATGTGTAAAAGTATAAGGTGTTAAAGTTTCTCAGCGTTATATTCCATTTCATGCGGCTTATTATGTGTAAGAAATAAGCATATAATAAATTGCCTTTTAGATATCTTAGATCTACCCAATGTACGAAATTTTCAGTATAATTACACTGATTGTAGATTTATTACAGACTATTTACAAACCTACTTAAATCAAAAGTATAACATTATTATTTTACAGCTTTTCCATCGTTTTAATTCTGTGAAGATACCAAATAATTCTCATTTATCCATTACTTACTTACTTACTTACTTACTAACTTACTTACTTACACCTATAACCTCTAGTGGAGCATATAAGGCTGATCAGTCAACTGTCCATCACTCAACAAAAAATACAATTTAAAAATAAGAAACTTAAAATCAATCATTCTGTTCTCTCTTAGCTTCACATTTCCAACTAAAATGATGAACTAATAATACAGTTACTAATGCTTAAGGTATATTATACATTAAACGAAGTCTCTGATATTTACAAATATCTCATTAAATTATCTGTTCAATATTTATGATTTTTTGGAATTTCTGTTGATTCAAGATAATGTTCAACTGGATAGCTTTAACAAGTTATCATTTATATAAGCATAAATGAACTATCTCTTCATAATAAAATGTTGATTACCCTACATAACTATTTATGGGGCTTTAATGAGTAATTTCAAACAAAACATTTACTCTATCATGTATAGAATTGTAAATCTTTATCTTCAACCTGCAAACAGTGGATAAATGAACTAAGATTTATTTCATTTCTTGTAAACTTGGATGATTCTTGTTTTATTTCTTAAAGTATATAAGTTTATCTCAAACTTTTATGCATTTGGCTCGAATCTAAGAGCTAAATATTACGTCATTTCTTTTCAACAGATAGCTCTCTGTTCAGATAACAATCGATTTTATTATACTATGTGATAATTCATTAATGTAGTATGAGATTAAATGCATAATAAGAATAACTCTTACGTGAGCATGTGACAAAGCATATTTCTTTTCCTGATTAGAACATTGATCTCCAATATAGACGTATAAATAAGACCCAGTGTCAATGAAGTACACATCGTCTTCTGTAATCGCTGATTGTGGCAGTTCTTCTTCACATACCAAAGATAATTCCATTTTCCCACTGTTATCTGAAAACCTTTTACAATAAAGAAAAAAGATCTGTTTTACTTTTTTACCATATGTCTAGCGAACAAACAAGAACAATAACAATAGTATCCTTTCAATTATTTGTGTACATTGTTCATATTTAATGAAATAGAATATGTAGTTTAATTGAGCAAAGTTGGATAAGGTGATATGCATTTGTAAAGGTTTCACGTAAGCTTGTAGACAGACAGTAAACATTTTAAAATTGAAGATCAATCAATACAAATTTACTTATCATCAAGATCTGACTTTGTGAAGCAAGTATAGTACTAGAAAGAGCCCCTTTTCGTATTCACTTAAAATACCAAATTATTCGATATTTGATAGTGCGGAGTTGTAGAGGTTGTTGAGTTTCAGTAAATTCTACAACCTATCTATATTAGACCACCATTAGAGACCTACAGGAAATGTACAGCTGTTGCGTTCTAGTGTGAGACTTTTCAGTAGTGCGAAATCACGACTCCGCAAGTGGAAATCGATCTCAGGATCTTCAGTCTTGCTCAGACACCTAATCTCTTGAATTCAAGCGGGAAGTTGTGAGCAGTGAAATTCAACCTTTTCGGTTTTGAGGCAGCTACCCACCAAAAACAATGGATGGTAATCGTGAAATATCGTGGGTTGATTGTAGTTAGACATTGACAACGATAGATGACGGTCGATTGATCAAAAAATTAAGGCTTTGCAAAATACCGAAGGTCCTGCGTTCGATTCCCGATTACTAAATCGTGAATGAGCACTGCTAATGAACACAGTGTGAAGATGAAATGAACGTCCAGTGCTTTCAAGTTTCCCGTGGTGGTCTAACATTGATCAGTTCATAATTTAAATGATATTCCTTTCTATGAAGGGAATTATGCTATCATCGAGCAAATATGTAGTTAGTTATATAACCTTGCTTCACCAGTTTATAAGCCTTGATATTGGTCAATCAGATAACATGTTCAGACAGTGGGGCTCAAAATCGACTCTCATATATTCCAGTACGTATCTCAACTGCTGAAACTACCAATTTATCGACTTTAAGTAAACTTCGGATTATCCGTTAGTGATACTGGATCTTCATAAAATCGAAATATTCTGATGTTATTTCGTATTACTGTAATTCAGTTGTATTGTTTTCTGTGTTTTCCCTTAGTTGTTTTGTTGATGAAGAATAACTCAAAGACTCAATATTCATTCACTGAAATCCTTTTGAAACCTGACATAACTTATGTTCTAGCTTCGTAAACGTGGAAAAAAATACCTCATACATAATGTCCAAAATAATATTAGCTACTCGTAAGTAGCCAAAATAGAAATGCAAAAATATTAAGCAAAATACAAAAAAAAACGAAAAATTTAAATGAGTTTGACTGAGACATTGTGTTTGAAGCTTCCCATGTAACAGTGAGTGTTTAAAAGGTTGGATGTTGAATGAAGTATAGTCTCAGCGTCCCAAAGCTTATTTTCTGTATTTTATTGTACGCGTGGTAATTAGACTTAATCTAATTGTATATAAATCTATAAAATTGAGAATCGGTTTTTTTTAAATGGTATATTTGTGTAGGATCAAAAATTTTGTTATTTTCATCAAAGTATACGGTGAATCGAAATATTTTGAAATCAGTTCCAAGTCTCTTTTATATATCTTAAAGTCGTTGAAGTAAAAACCAGGATACAATTTACTCCTTGTAATAATGATTCATAATATGTTAAGTGAATCCAATATGTTTGTGCACGAAAATTAATGGCTACCAATGTTCCAATTGATTTTAATTAGACTGAAATTCTAACTTTTTAACTGTAGACACTACTATATATAAGAAAATCATTTTAAATCAAAGTAATGATTATCTTGATTCATTAGGAAGAGTGAAAAGTTTCAGAGAAGAAAATATTCTTTCCAAAGATTTCATTTCATTGAGCTCTACAATGGTTCAAAGTGATTGTTTGTCCCTGACAATTCATCGAATGACATTCTTACTGTAGAAAACAACTGAAAGCTTCGATGGAAAAGGCTTTTTCGAGAGATTTACACAGCCTTTTCTTGAGTATCTCATTAGCCGTAACTTACTTGAACATTTTAAGTAGTCAGTGGTTTGTTTGATTGTTGTAGAAAGATGTAATACCATTAACTTCTTGCTTATTGCCACTTCAATCAATGTAGGCGAAACGTTTACTTCAAACAAAATAATTCACTCAGTCTCGTCATCATTTAACCAATGGTAAGGACATTATGAAACCATAGGTAAGTACTCTTTGATCTACTGATTAAGGGTTAGAATGTATGTATAACGATAAGTAACAGATTGTTTTCAAGCATCTAACTCTTTCTCACCTCGTTTAAATTATCATACTAATAGATTACAAAAAATTATTAGTTGTAATTCTATTTGTATTTTGTTCTTGAAGATAAACGCTGTCATTACTCCAATAGCAAAACTATTGGAGTAAAAATACCAAACAAAGCTTAATAATTTATCAGCTGGTTCGCTTGAGGAATATGTTCTTTTTATCAATCATCTTTCAACAGTATATGTGAGCAATAAAATATACAAAGAACTTATTCTTTTTTGAGTCATCAGTATCATTAAAATATAATCAAGGCTAGTTTCATAGAATATCATATCATCCAAAGAGTATTACATAGGATGAAAGTATCAACCATCTCATTGCCATAATGTGCACTTTATGTCTTAAAAATAGTGTGAATCAGTTGCATTCAATGAAGTGCAACATAGTTATTCACTAAGGTTCAACATTACAGTTGTAGTAAAAATTACAATGACATGCATTTTCAGTAATCATCCATTCATAACTTACCGATAGATCGCTTTCTTCCCATTGCCATTTTCTGGACTTTGAGGAATTTCAGTATCTGGTAGGCTGGCTAAAAATTGTTTCTTCAGGGGTGAATAGATAAAAGGAAAAGCAAATTGCATGTCAAGTTAGAATGAGAATTTTACGAGATACAAGTTAACTATATTGAAACCATCAGTATGCATAGAAAAATACTTGCGCTTAGTGAATGTGTGACTAAACACATTTCTAAATGGCATAAGTGTTTATGTTTCTACCAAAAAGTGATACATTTTGAAGGTTTTTACAAAACGTTTCAGTCTTTTCGAACCTATTCACATGTTAGAAATGTTTAAGAAATTTTTAACAAGAAAACAAGTAGGAGGACTTCCGGTGAATTTATTGGTATACCAAATAAAACTTGAGCTGCCTTAAATCCACATAGTGCAGAGAGATGCAAGAATGTGTAGACCACCATGAGTAAGGGGATTATTCACCTGACAAAGGTTATCATCTGAATGTCTTTGCATCGATCAGTCTAGATGTTTACGAACTTTAGTCACCATACCGTACATAACTGGATGCTCAAGTGAATTGTTAACTGAGTTGTTTTCAGTATTTTTGTTAGCATTTTTATATAACATGAGGTGAACAGATATTATATTACATCAACTATCATTAGACACGATACACATTGATACAGTAGGTAGAAATATACCCTTTTGCAGTTCTCTAATATCACAATCAAACTTGTTAAGCTCACAGATTTATTGGATTATTGATATAATGGTGACCACATATGAAGAGGGATAGCAGAATATTTATAATGATAAAGAATGCTAACCATTTCTGGTGAGTTTTCACCTTCGTCTAAAACTTCGGTTGCCAATCTTCCATTACGTTCACCTTTAAGTTGTATTAAAAAGTGTCCAGCCTATGGGTAAATTTTAAATTCAATGCAAAGAATGAGATATTAAAAAAACGTAATTATTTTTACTAGGAATTTTTGATAAAGACACTTAAATGAGACTAAACTTATATATTGTATACGGTTATGATACAATTTTATGCATTTGAAATCACCAATCAATCATTGTTAGACCACTATTAGAAACCTGGAAGCACTGGACGGCCGTTTCGTCCTGGTATGGGACTCATCAGCACTGCACCTCAACGACTCCTGCACCTCGCAGAATTCAAACCAAAGGACCTTCGGTTTTGCGCGCGAACGCCTAACCTCTAGACGATTAGACCGGTTCAATATCGAAAGTCCCGTGTTCGAATCCTGCGAGATGCGGGAGTCATGGATGCGTACTGCTGATGGATCCCATACCAGGACGAAACGGCCGTTCAGTGCTTCCAGGTTTCTAATAGTAGTCTAACAATGACTGATTGATGATTTCAAATGTGTAAAAACACTAATCTTCATAATTCTAATTGAAAATAAATGTTTATCCAAAAGCTTCCATCTTTAAACAACGATCAGTTTTGTTCCCTGATTCAAAATAATTCATACTGTAGTATGAATGATTTTTGGACAGATGCTTTTGATGATAAAATGATTAAGATTGTAAAACCGTCATTTAAAACTAACTTAAATGAAAATATTTACATGTTACGATTGATTTTCAGTACTTAAAGTTGAATCAGAAAACTAATGCCGATATTGATTTATCAATTTTATAAATCTTTCATTACATTTTATCTGATTATGAGTTAATTTAATTTTTTAATAGTATGATGAATTCTGTTGTCATTAATCTAACTATTGTTACAAAAGATAACAGTTTTATTCACTATTGTGTTTATTACAGTTTGGAATTCACAGCATTAAGTATATTGAACAAGTTTCTTTTGTAAAGAAATTGACCGATAATTGCATACGTATATACATGCGATACATCAGTAAACCATTTAGAATAAAATATATTAAAATTTTATACTTTTTCTGGAAGCCATGAAATGAAACTTTAAAGAATTTCCATCAATGTAAACACTTTCCGAATAAAACATACATTAACAAGTGAAAATTATGAATATCAACTTACACGAAATCGTTCGTATTTGCCTGATTTACTACCATTCCATTGATATGCTGTCGATCCTACTTCCAATATGAAAACATCATCCGAATTCAATGATTGTCTAGAACAAGGTACTTCTCTTATTTCAGTACGTGAACAATCAATATCTCGAAGGTGATAAAGCCTTGGTTTAACTTGATTTGGTCTTACACGATTAAATCCACTTTCATAACCACCTTCAAGTGTTCTAAACATTACAAGGTAACAATGAAAAAGAAAAAAAGAAACATATGAACTAGGTAGTAAACATTAGTATCATTAGAATTTTTAAGAATAAAAACAAATTTATCAATAAAATTCCCTAAACAGCTTCATTTAATGATTAATTAGTCCCAATAATCATTTTCTGAGATTTCGATAGAAATATAGAACTGTTCACTTCAGACATATTTTTTGTATGAAAATAAGTTTCAAGATAACTATCAAAAGTAAACCAGCTTTTTTTATTGAAGACTATTGTAAACCGGAAAGAACTGAGCAACTACACAAAACGAATCTGGTTCCCATTAGTAGTATTTGGACGAAAAAGGTTGTGCCATGTCAAAAAATGAACTAAATCTTGATATGAGATCTCGTCAAATCGAACTCCATGGTCTAAAACTGTCATATTGTCCATGGGTCCAAAACGACTTGAACTCTATTCAGTATGTGGTCATGGGTGTGCTTGTGTTTGATTAGTTTTTAGACAAGTATTACAGTTCAATGCTGATTAATGTACAATGGTTGATTTGTGATAGATATTGTCTTCAAAACATACAAATAATAATAAATTCACTGCAAAAACCCTTAATACATTATAAATTCCTCTTCACATGTAAATGAAGTAACATTTGAAAAACTATGAGCTATCCTGGTATAGACTAATGACAACGTTTTTTTTTCATTTGGAATTTTATTTCAATTAAATTTAACAATATAATCACATCGACAACGATATTGAAAAACAAGGGTAAACAAATTCATTGATCTTGTAATATATATTGAACGTTTCGTTTGCAGTTATTATGAAATAAATTTTTACATACTTGCATAAAATTACGTATGCGGATATTTTATTGTTCAACAGACAATAAAAACTTAACTAAGAATGACACTGTACATATCACATATCTTAAACGCCACTAGGACAAACGATTAGTCTTATTATTTAGTTAAAAACTCGTTTGATTTTTCTAAACTGACGAACTTTGACTATGAAAATATTTGTAAATATTAAACTCTTTGTTTTTATAATTCGTTTCATCTTGTTATAAATAGTTGATTTGTTTCGTTTTTGCTTTCCGTTATTCACATATTCTTGAATTTGGGTGTGTACAGAAAATGGAAGATAACGCTTACAACTTGTGTTGTTACCAATAACAACTTAATATTTCCCGTAAACAGAGAATAGATTAATCAAAAACATACTATGGAAATAGAAATAGTTCATGTGATAGAATCAATCAGTACTTAAGTAAATTAAATTTCACAAATATCTTGAAGTATGTTATCGTTGTTTAACAATCATCAAAATATGTATTTCATTATGATGGGCTGCTGAATTAAATTTTGGTGAATGGAGGAGGATGGAGGGAAAACGGATATCAGCAATTCTCAATTTCCAATAGTTGAAAAAATTCTCAAAGACATCGTGTAATTGTAATGAGTATTAATTATAAAAATGATAAGGATTCGCTATTTTGTACAGAAGAAGAATCCTTTCAATACACTTATCATCAATCCCTTTCTCTTTTCTCTAGAATTTTCTCCTTTTTTCGAAACTATACATGATTAATGCTACTAATACTTAAAGCCGTTTATTATGTATCTAGTTCGTTTAATATAATTGTGATGATATGATGAAATAACTTCTCTGGTTGGATACTTGTTTCAGGATATGAATAAGTGACGCATTTGCAATTATTGACATTACAGTGTGTAGTTATATCGATTAGTTCGTTTCTAGATAACATTTTGAAGTAAATTTATATTTTGTAGAAAGCATCAAGCTGAACAATGCTCAATTATATTTTAAAATAAATCGCCATATAGAAATATACTACTTTTTATAAGCTTAAGTATTAATAGATATAACGCGAAAAAACTAAGCTCCAGCTTGGTGGTTAGAATCGGAGTAAGAGCCATGTAAGGTGATATTAGTATAAATAATAATGGTGTTCTGTTTCAACGTTCTTACTAATGAACATTGCTAGTGTTTTTGGATCTTAAATTATAAACTTGACTTTTACTCAGAGCTAAATATTTACAGAAAAGTATAGATAACAAATCTAACTAAATACTACTACTACTACTACTACTACTACTACTACTACTACTACTACTACTACTACTACTACTACTACTACTACTACTACTACTACTACTACTACTACTACTACTACCACTACCACTACTACTACTACTACTACTACTACTACTACTACTACTACTACTACTACTACTACTACTACTACTACACCTTATTACTTTATTGTTCAAGAATAACGTTTTGTGTGGAACTATCTCTTGATTAGTAAACGGTGTCATTTATATAATATCAGATTGCTCAATTTCTTAGAATTTTCCATATTTTGATGAAAACTGTAGTAATTTACAATGAAAACACAAATTTACAAACACTAAAACAATTTTGATAGCTTACCTAAACTTCTTAAAGTACGATTTAAATTGTTTTGACTCCATTCCATCGACTTCACGATGTTGAATAGCTTTATCATCTAAAAATGTATCCAACTCCACAGTTTTGTAAGCTGCAGTCACATATTCATCCTAATTAATAAATGAGGAGTAATGGAAACAATAACGAATTCTACAATATATGAACAATTAATTGGACATACTACGCAGCTAATCTTGTATTGGCATTTTTTTAATAGGACAAGTTGCTAGAGTTTAATTGTTCAGTATACATCTACATACTTAGTTACCCTTGCTGAGATAGCTATATTGAATTAACTGCAAAGTAACCTAACCGAAGAATGAGTAGAACTCGTCCAGATTGGTTTGAAATAAGGATTAGACAAAGAAAATTTATAGCTCTGTCTTGACAAATCTAGTTGACAGTGGACGTACGGTCGATAAAACCAAATAATTTTGAATGATATATCACATACCTTCTTCATTCCCCTAATGGATCACATCTTCTACAACGCAGCAGAATCGATAAACATCTGAACCTATAGCTTTAGTTGATGTGTTCAGAAGAAATGCGTGACACTCCTTTTTTCCTTTCTTGACTAGATATCATTTAATAGACGATTTTAGCAATGTTTTAAATCGCATGTTTTTCAGCTTTTACTTCACTGTCGAATCATTTACAGTAATGCTTACAATGTAATTTTAGTAATGTTCTGTGAATATTATTGTAAAGTTTATTTATCCAAGTTTGACCTACTACTTCCAGTGTTCAACTACTACTGACTAGGACGTTTATTATTCTCATTGTGAGCACTAACTAATGGCTTCATATTGACAAATAAATATTCATGTATATTAGAGTAAAGCCTAGTGACGATCTAAAAAAATAACCATTTTGTTTTTTTATATGTATGGTTTTAAAAATGTTATGATTGAATCGTTCCAGGCTTTAAATTAGTCATTTGGAAACTTTAAAAGATAAACTACTTCGTTATTGAATAGTAAAATATGTGTTGAACTCTCAGTGATGATAGAATTGTTTCAGTGAATCCAAAGACTTGAATAATACGTCTTTAAGTGATATGAAATCTGAATTTTATTGGTATGCCTACATCAATCGTTATTTTGCTATAAAACTAATGTAGTCAAAAAAAATTTGTCACTTAATTTCAATGAACTCTCAAACAAATAAATTGTTTTAATATTTCACGAGATAATTTACAATTGCATCTGTAATAAATAATCTGTAATTATTATAAGATATCGCCTTATTATTCATTTCATCGACCTACACTGTAAAGTTCAAATTATCAAAATTAAAAGAATGTTGTTAATTAGAATAATGGATTATTTATTTCTACAGTATTACTTAGAATGCATATTTGAGTGAACTTTTATTTAATTCCATTTATTTAATTCCATGATATAAACCTCTGTATTGATTGTAAGATTCTAATTATTTTTTTTTATAAATCAACACTGTAGGGTAACAATTATGTTATTATCGATTTTTATGATTAGTTCAATTGGATTTTATAATAAATAAAACATCCTAATTCATCAAATTTAAAAGTTGTTTGAATATATTTAATATATGACAGTGCATAGTTTTGTTTTGACTGAAAACTTGCAAAATGTTACGATAACATTTACAATGTAATGTTGCTTACTTGAGTACTTTTTTTTCCTATCCAAAAATGAACATCATAGTTGTATTCTTCACCAACTTTTTCGATCTTCAAAACAATATATGAATCTCCAGAGTAAAATGTTCCAATGTCTTCTGGTTTCACTACCTCCAAATTAAATTTCTTTTAAAACAAAACAGAATTGTATGATTTTTTAGAAAGTGTGAAAATAGTATTAATCCGTTAATAATTGACGAACACATTAGAAGTGATAGAATTTCTTAATGATATGAATCGTATTCAGCTATTATTTTGTCTATTTGATATAATCTTTATGAGTTGATGATCGTCATAATATTGATTTGCATATTCTTCAAGTACTTTGAGTTACTGGGCAAAAAGAACCACCATCACAAGTAATGGACCTCTGTGGGTACTCTTGCAAAAATTGAAGAAAGGAGGAACAAGAAGGTAGCAATCAACGTCAGAAAGAGAAAGCCAAAGCACATGCTGAATACTCAGCAGTAAACAAGCTAGTGAAGAAGAGCGTCAGAGCCGACAAACGTAAATATGTGGAAGACCTATCAATGACGACGGAAAAGTCTGAAAGAGAAGGAAACTTCGGACAAGTGTACGATGCAACAAAGAAGCTCGCTAGAAACTATCGTAAACCAGAACGACCAGTGAAAAGCTAGGAAGGCAAAGTGATTAGCAACAATGAATAACAGCGAAACAGGTGGATAGAGCACTTTAGGGAACTCTTGAATCGACCAGCTCCACTGAACCCACCCGACATCAAGAGAGGAACTGGCGTTTGAATTGTGAGGCACTATTTATTAACCCAACTCTTACTGGAGCCCTTTTGGGGTTGCTGCTGTTCACAGACTCGGATAAAAGAGGGTTAGACATGGGGTTAGCAACCCCATATCGTAGAAAACCAAATCGTTAAAAAACACTGACAAGAACAAATAATTCAAACCATTTAAACTCTGTCCTAAGAGTTGAAAGGTCTTCATTTAGAAGAGTTATAATACCTATTTATGAATGCCGAGTCCCTTCGGAATTCGCGATGCCTATGCCCCTTCTCATAACCAGAGCAATAAATAATGTTGGTACATGGAATGTTCGTACTTTGTGGGAGACCGAGAGACTCATCTAAGTTGCTGCAGAAATGAAAACATACAACGTCATGGTCGAACTTGGGATCAGCGGAACATATTTGACATAGGTGGGAGAAAAAGACTGACTTCATGAGGGATGCTGTTATACTCAAACCATGAACAAGAAAATGCATCACATACACTAGGTGTTGAAATAATGTTGTAAAAAAGCACGAAAATCACTTATTGGACTGACGATCATCAAAGCATCCCTCAAAACAAAGGAAAATCGGATTACAATGAATGTCAGTTAGTGCTAAGCGCCTACTAACGATACAACGTAGACCATAAAGATCAACAATATGGGAGGCTGCAGTCAATCATCGACAAATGCTTAGCAGATGATTGGACCATTCTCATCGGACACCTAAAAGCTAAAATTGCAATGGACAACACTACATATGAAAAAATCATAGGACTACATGAACTACGAGAAAGGAATGAAACTGGGGAAAGATTCCTAAATCTGTGTGCTTCTAACAGAATGGTCATAGGCGGCACCATATTCCCACACAAACACAGACATAATCCCACATCGATTTCACCGGATCACAATTCATAGAACCAAATCGACCACATCTGCATCACTAACAAGTTCAGAAGGACCATGGAGGACATCAGAACCAAGAGAGGAGCTGACATAGCTTCAGATCATCACTTGTTAGTGATCATGATAAAACTGAAACTCAAGAAGCACTGGACAACTGGTAGAACAGCATCACAAAAGTTGAATACGGTTTTTCTTCAGGATACTGGTAAATTCAATGAATTCAAGACAACTATCAGCAATAAGTGACATGCCATTCGCGATCTACTCAATGAAGAGAAAACTACCTAGGAGAGCTACTGGGAACGGATCGAAGAAGCAATAACTTCAGCATGTTCTGAGGTTCTATGACAAAAGAAGCACTAAAACAAGAAGTAAGTCACTTTGGATACGCTGGTTGCGATTCAAGAAACGAGTAATAGGAAAACAGCAATCAATATCAACAGAACAAGAGCAGAGAAGGCCAAGAAACAGGCTGAATACACAAAAAGCGAGCAAGTGAAGAGGAGCATCAAGGCTGATAATCGAAAAAACAGAGGCCACGCTATCTTCAAGATTTGGGATGAAGAACAAGTATCAACAGAATGCAAAGAAGAACACCTCATCAACACACCAAAGAAACTATATCTCAGCAAGTGTGAGAACCACACAGGCATAACTCTTCTCTCAATACCAACAAAAGTCTTCAACGGAGTGTTGTTAAACAGAATGAAGGACTCCGTAGACGCTCAGTTTCGAGGCCAAAAGGCCGAATTCCGTAAGAATCAACCGTGTAACGACCAAACCGCAATATTACGGGTCATTGTGGAACAACCAGTTAAATATAACAACTTCACAGACTACGAGAATGTATTTGACAGTGTAGACAGGACAACACTATGGAGACTTCTTCGACACTACGGTGTGCCTGAAAAGATAGTCAACGTCATACGCAATTCTAATGATGGATTAAACTTCGAAATCGTTCTCGGAAAACTGCTAGCAGACTCGTTTGAGGTGAAGACCGATGTCAGGCAAGGGTGCTTACTCTCACCCTTTCTCTTTCTCCTCGTGATAGACTAGATTATGAAGACGTCAACATCTGGATGAAGGCACGGTATCCAATGGACATTCAGGATGCAGCTGGACGATCTGGACTTCGCAGATGATCTGACTCTTCTGTCGCACACGCGATAACAAATGAAAGAGAAGACGACCAGTGTAAAGCAGCCTAAGCAGCAGCAGATATCGACATGAGCAAAGGAAAAACTAGATTCTCCGATACAACACAGCATGAGCTAATCAAATCATTGTAGACGAAGATGCCTTGGAGGACGTAAAAACGTTTACATATCTTGGCAGCATCATAATCACCGAACTGCGTCAAAAGACAAGCCCTCAGTTGGAACCCTCAAGGCAAAAGGAAAAGAGGAAGGCCAAGGAACACATTACGCCGAGAAGAAGAGAAAGGTATGAGAAGAATGAACACAAACTGGAAAGAACTAGAAAGGGAAGCCCAGGACAGATTTGGTTGGAGAAAAGTGGTGGGCGGCCTATGCTCCATTGAGGGGGGGGGTGACAGCGCGTCAATAAGTGAGTAAGTAATACGTATTCTTTAACAATTTTACTGGTTTAATTTTCATGTTGTTCACCTATTCCAAATAGTTGCCTAGGATTAGTGGACTTTAAATTTCAAAGTAAGTTATCCAAACTGAAAGTTTCTGTGTAAATATCAATTCACTTGAATCGAAATTTACTCATCTGCTGCGCTTAACAAGAATGGAATAATGATTTACATTTCCAGCTGCCGGTAAATGAGATTTCACTTATTTTGCTGTTTGTTTTGTGTTAGTACATATGGATGACAAGTTGTAACTAACCTTATAAAAATATTCAGTTAATAAGTTTAAACAGTTGAACAAAAATCCAAATTTTTGTACATCCTAAGGTATATTTACGGTAAGTCATTTAAGCTATTTAAGTTAAGTTCATGGGATTCTGAGCGTAAATTATATTTACTATAGCAGCTGGCGTGATAATCCATTTAGTCTCGTTCATCATATTGACTTAGTTGATTAGAAGTAAGTAGAATTGTGTTTGCTGATCCCTCATGCATGATAGTAGTTTCAGCTTGAATGTTGATTTTTAATACAATGTAAGCCAATCACATTGTCTATGGTATATTATACAACTGTCTAGTTCTATATATAGCAATATATATAGCAATAGTAAATCTTTTCCATCAACCAATTAACATTTTGGAGATAAGCTGCTCTGAGACTATGAAACTAATATGAACTTTGAATGTTGTTCATTTCATCCGATTCCATGGTATACAGTTATTCAATAATAAGTTTCTTTACGAAAAATGTAAAATCTTTCAGAAAGATTATATAATGTAATTGAATTTGGTATCACCTATATTTTGAGAATTCATAATTGTGTACCATTTCATCGTTTAGTATTTACAGGATTTTGGCTTTTTATAACCCTATTCAAGAATTCTGACTGATTCACACTATTATTAACAAAAAATCCTTCCTACTACCAACCCTTTACACCTGCCTTCTTGATCTTTTTCGTGTTTACCACTATCTATTACCGAGTCTCGTTTTCTCTCCATCCTACTGTCACCAGTGATTTTATGTACTTGCAGTTTTTTCAGCTTATGCTTATAGATGAACTATGTGACTTTGAATCACTGAAATCTATGCTAAATCTAATATTATATCTTAACAATCTCACTCTAATATTTTTAACTAATCATGAATGTTTATTTTATATTTCTTAGATGTATTTATATGATTACACATTTTTGAAACCATGAATCGATCAATGTTAGACCATCACTAGACACCGGCTCAGTGGTCTAACGGTTGGGGCGTTCGCGCACGATACCGAAGGTCTTGGGTTCGATTCCTGCGGGGTGCAGGAGTCGTGGATGCGCACTGCTGGTGAGTCTCATACCAGGACGAAAGGGCCGTCCAGTGCTTCCAGGTTTCTAATGGTGGTCTAGCATTGGTCGATTCGTGGTTTTAAAAATGTGTAACTTAGCAACCTTCCCAACCCTGTAATTTATGTGATTAGTTTAGAAATTTTAAACAAAATAAGAATTCATTTTAAACTAACATTTATTCTCCAAACTAAAAGCGTTGATTTTTCGATAGATTTTATTGGATGCCATGCTTTTTCAGTTTCAGCAGCTTCCTCTGGACATGAAGAGAAATAAATTAAGCACAGATTAAATATCGATCATAATCAATATGTTTAAATCATTTTTTATGCATATATGTAGGATAGCATTCACACTATTATTGTTAAATTAAATCTTTTCTTTAGAAACCCTAAAATGTATAATTCTTCGTATATCAAGCAAATGAAGAAATGTGAACACCTAATTCAACAATTGAAAATCCATAAAGCATGTTGAGTTGTTAGACAAACTGAACAAACAACAACCTTTGAACACATAATGATTCGAATTTCATATATAATCTTTATTGTATAATGGTCTCAGCTGCCTCCTTTATAACAAAATTCTACAATTAAGCATCGAAAACACAACTGAGCAATATCAATTCATGTTACTGTTCAAAGTCAACAGGTACACTATAAAATCTTAAAGCCTCCTAGTCATAAGTTTTAAACACTACCTTGCATTGTGAAACATTTTAGTTTAAAATAATCAACTAATTTGTTGTATTTGTCATTGTGACTTTGTTCATATGCTAACAACAAAGTTATATTCATTTATCAAAAATCATGATGCAAGTCAGTGTCAAAAAAAAAAATCAGATAAGCATTTCTTTACACTGTACTTTCTTTATTATATTTATCTTACTAATGTCAGATTGTAAGAGAAATAAATTCCAGTAAATATATTTGTACTTTAAATCTCTATTACATCACAACACAAAAATGTTACATCATAGTACGTAAGAAATAATTCATTCATTAAATTTCATACTTACTTTTGACAGACCGCTCTAAATCTGAACCGAATAAAGCCATATTAGTATCTTTCCAATTATACTCCATCGTGGAAATAGAACCGTCAGACATGATTTCACTAACAGACACTAATTGAATTAGGAAAGATAATTTTAACAATCACCACGTGTACTCAAATATTTGTATCTATATATATGGTATATATATTTATATATATATGTTTATATACATATATGCATTGAATGAATATTGTAATCGATAAGTTGAGAAATTGAACATATCTGAATGGTTGGTTATATGTCATACCACTACGGACAACAATAAAAAAATACAAGAGAAAATGTTATTATTGTATGTTAAAAATTTGTCCAGTGATTTTTTGTTGATTAATAATTAAACACAAGAATAAAAAAAAATGTTGTAAAAAATAACTAAGGAAGAGTTAGTTTACAGTAGAGTTTTTTTTTAATTTTTTCTTCTTTAGTACACATTTGACGTGATTAATTTTTATGATTGAAATTGGAATTGTATTTGGCTTGAAATGCATCTCACTTATTATAATTTTGAATGTTAAAAATGTTCGTTATTTTACAAACTTATTAAACTATAGCTGTATTATTTATTCACTGCTAATAGTGTTAGTTTTATAGAATGAAGGTAGTTCAGTGGAGAATTACTTTTTTTTTTGTTAATAAGTAAAAATGAAATCAACATCATTTCATATTAATGAATCGATAGTTTGTCTACGCGAAAAAAAATTAACAAGTCAATTTACTGTCTTCTGTTAGCGTATCAATTAATTTTTTACAATTATAAGAAGTAGTAAGCATTGCAATTAGTCACTGGTGAATGATTTTGACTTTTGTCACTGTTATTCAACTGACTTTTATATCATTTGTTCCGATTGTATTGTAATTTTATATTAAGAATTACGATCTAAGGTTTATATCGAAGCAAGTTTATATATATATATATATATATATATATATATATATATATATATATATATATAAGTTATCATATATTGTGAAGCGAACTTTGCCTTTTACTTACATAGATATCGTTTATTTGTTGATCGCTATTTATTATGACAACTTACAATGTCAGTAATGCATATATTATTTATCTCCTTGAGCTGGTGATTCATTAGAGTGCTGCTGTTTAACAACCTGACTTGAAAGTAAACTCACTTTGAAAGAAAACTTATACAGTTAGAAAATGAAATAAAATTAGAAAATCCAGGTAAAATTATTGTGATTAATGTAAAACAAAAATTCATATACACCGATATATTCATATTCGATGTAAACTATTTCTACGTTATTTTTGAGGACAGATTTATGATGGTAATGTAGAAAGATGCTTGATGGAAATAATATTTAGAAGCAGTTAAGTTGTTCTTACTCTTATTTTAGGACATACAAGCGGGGAACAAGTAATTTAAAATTATATTTAGCTTGAAAAAAAAGAACGAAGTATTCTGGTTGCACTAACTTTTGGATTTTCATTTCATTGATGCACTTCTAATTCATTGGTACACTTAAAGGGTTGATTAGCTTCAGTCACATACAACATCTGAAATAATTTTTCGGATAAAAAATAATCATTTTTCAGTTAATAATAATAATAATAATAATAACAGCACTAGCAAACCAAACTATTCTAGTGAAATTCAAAAAATTAGATTTTGTTACCGGTTGTGTTATTCTTCATGATATCCAACTAATTATTTCATGTTAAATCATCTAACCTATTAAGACATAACAAAGATTAAAAAATGAACTAAGAACTTGTGGAAATATAGCTCTATCAGTCTTTAGATTAATTTTATGATAATTTATGGAGGATATCATGGAAAGGCATCATTTAATCCCAGCTCAGTGGTCTAAAGATTAAGCGTTCGCTCATGAAACATAAGGTTCTAGGTTTGGTCACCTCCGATGAGGTCGTAGATGCGCGCGGCTAGGTTGTTTAATACTTAAACAAAACGGTCATCGAGTGCTTCCTGGTTTTCAAAGACTGTCCAACTACGATTATTTCGTGGTGTGATTTATGAAAGAGAAAAATCGACGACATCAAGTGGTAGTTCGTATCATCTCACCTTTCGTTCACTGTACTTGAATGATTTGTCGTTTAAAATATTCGAAAATTGTATAGACCGTTTTTGTATTTGTATTGATTGGCTTTTGCTAACTTGCGTCCCTTATGGTGTAGGCGAGGTATCTGTTTGCTGACTGAAGGACAAATGTAGGAGTTCGCTCCGTCCAACTATATGGCTGTAAAACATGGCCAGTGAGAGCAGAAGGTATTCGTATCCCCGTCGCAAAATATTGGGTTCGTCACTAAGTATGCTTGAGGCTATTACAAGTTTACCTTAGTCGATAAACGCGAATGAGACAATTACCAGCGTTCAGGTAGGCTATCTTGAGTCCCCAACTAAAGTAAGAAGGCTTTGTAAGCGTAGAAAGTATATTCTACAAACACCCAGCAATCACAGTACAATCAAGCATACAACTCTCGTTTATTTATACATCATAGAAACGTCCTTGGGACAGTTATGAAAATAGCACACTAAAATACACAGCAGCCAATCACAGCCATGGATTTCCCTGGTGGGAAATGAAATCTCAAGGTCAACTGATCAGCCCATGCTCGCAAACGTGAAAACCAAAATAAGGCATTTATCAAGCGAGTTTTGTGGATATAACATCCCCAACATTGTTTTCGATCATAAGTGTATCCGAAGCATTGCTTGTGTATCATGAGACAACTGAGTGAGCAATGCTTTTGTTAGGAAACGGGTGCTAGGTAAGGATGGTAGGTCAATAGATGAAGTAGTGAAACTTCATCAGTTGAGATGGTTTGAACATGTGTTGCGTATACTTAACCACTGACTGCCTCGTCGAGTTATGTTTTGCGATGTAGGAGTGGGTTGGAAGAAAGCTGGGGGCGGCCGAACCAAAACATGGCAGAAATCTATGAAGTCATTGACAAGTGGACTGAGCTATGTTGATAGGTATCGACTACCTGGTTGGGGCTCGCGAGACGATAATAATCGATGGTTAGAGACGCTGGATGACATGGCTCAAAACCGTTTGCAATGGCGCCGGTGCATTCATTCTTTGTGTTCTCTCAAATCCTAAACTTTTTAATTCCTTATAACCTTTAACCTTTTTCTTTAAAGTTTCACTAGATTCTACTTCTTGAATAATATCTTCGAACGGTAATCTCTCTGATTACTGCTAATTTCTTTACTACCTCTACTGCTGTTGGATTTGAATTGACAATAACATCTCTATGCTAGTGTGGTATGGCAACTTGAAATGATGGACGTACGTACGTACGAAGTTCTACGTTGCTGTTGATTGATTGCTTGACTATAAATACTTAGTCATTCTTCAGCTAACGGAGAGTTGGCTCACTCGCCTTCTCCCGTTTGCTCAGCATGTTTGCATCCCATTCTCATACCTGTCTGCATAGATGAATGCATAAAATAAATTAATCCACAACACCATATATTGGCTTCTTACTGCCGCCGTCGCTTGAATGGGGTTCGCCTAAGTTTGATATACGGAAATGAACAGATAGATTTATTTCATTGCACACTTGATCATTCATCCACACTGAAGTCCAGTTGTGAGCCGCTAAAAGTTAATTCTCAAAGTGATTTACAGTGTAGCATTCTGTGAATCGATTGATTAGCTAGATAGCCTATACACAGGAGGTGATTAGGTACCTAGTTTACTTTGGCTCAAACATTTTTTGGCTTGATCATGCTATCTGATCATTACTATTTTTTCATAAACAACAAGATGTCGGTCATCGTCTATCTACACATTTTTCCGACATATTTTATAATTAAATTAAAATATAATAGAGTCAATTCCTAAATAATTTTAATATTTACAACTCAACAAACCATAATAAAGAACAAAAGTTTGGTGCATGAATATAAATCAAATAAACTCTATCTATTTAATAAAATTCAATAACTTCTTTACCGTTTTTTTTTAAAAAAATACAATACTAAATAAAAACAACAGATAAATATGAATCACACTAATTAAATTCAGAGGAATTCCAAAACACTAATTAAAAATATTTTGTTATGAACTGTTATTTCTTATATGCATGCTTTTTTAAAAATTATCTAACTGATCATAAAGCACACAACTGAAATATCTAATGTTATTTTAATTAAACAAACAGGTCATTCATTTCAATACAGTTTATTATGTTGATTAATTTAAAATAAATTTTAAATTGTGAAAGTAATCTGTGGCTATCATTGAAAAAAGCATTAAAGACAATGCAACAATGAAACTCCACTTTTTGGAGATATTATTTACTTACACTGTACAATGATATCTGCGATTAATTTGCAAACAAAATAGTCTTTTAAAAAATACGAAGACAAGGTGACATAAAAAGGTTTTTTCAAAGATTTCGTCAAACGACTCTTCAAAATCACTAAAGCAGGATCTCTTTGGAACTCGATGTTTCTGAAGAGAGTTTTCTTAATAATTGTATGGGCGCATGCAAATCATAATTTAGGTTTCATGTTTCGCCGGACAAACCTAGATGAAAAAAAGGTTTTTGAGGAATATCTGTCGGAGGTTCGCATTAATGCCAAGTCATCAATGATAAAAAGTGGATTGAATTCCTAGTTCTTTCTTAAGGAACCCAGCTTTGAAAATCCTATACTGTCCATTTCAAGTTGGTTTTCGATATACAGACGTTCTTAATGTACTATATTATCTTCTGTTTAATAAGACGCTGGGGAAGTGATGCATTGATGACAGCCATTAAAATTATCCAGGATTACACTGAGATCATTGTTTTTATCAAAAATAATGAAAGTGTCATTCATGTACGTTTTGTATAAATGAAAGCTACCAATCATCGCCTGAAGTAATGTATTCTCAGGATTAGCCATAAAGAAGAGAGTCAGACGAGTTGGGAGCCCATAGACACATCATCAGTTTGTCAGTTGAACTCATTACTAAATTTAATCTGAACATTAAAGTTACATCGTCGGATTAATTGCTTCAAATAGTGTTTTGAAACACTAATATTGAGGTTGCTGTTTTTAATATAGGCGCATCCTAGGTATATGGTCTATTTTAAAGATACATTAGTTAAAAGTGTTACCATGTTTGGAGATATCATTTTCGGTGCAGCTAGACTGATACCAACAAGCGATTTGTCAAAGTCGAAAGAGTCTAGTATTCCATATTCGTTGATCTTATCTTTAACAATTTGTAGGATTTCGGCTGGTCCTTTACCAGCCACAAAATATTGCTGAACACTAATCAGCTTGTAAATAACTGTTTCCAAGTATAGCGAAAGTGGTAGTGACTCTTCAGACTAATGGTCACATTTCAATCAATCTTCGGTATTCAATCAACACATTAAGGACTAGACACATTATTTTCATAAATATTCATTCTATTCAAATACTTTTGTAATTGTAGACCTCAGAATATATATATATATATATATATATATATATATATATATAACTTGTAATGAATTTTGTAGTCACTCAAATATTGATTAGAAATGGTAATTAATAATTAATGCAGTCATTAAATTTTGTTTCTGATGCAACAAATGTAAATTTTGCTTCATTTTAAGTATTTTTGTTTAACTGAAAACCACTACATAGACTAGAATGTTTGAATTATAACATCCAAATTCTCAACCACATGTGAAGGTAACATCTAATTTCATTTGTGTGCAGTTAGCCCCACAGATTGATCATTTGTTTTATTCTCATTTAAGATTATTTACCAATCTAATAATCTGTTTCAGTAGGTACCTAAATCGGTGATAATAGCCAACTAAAAGCTCTGATAGATTTACTTGTTGTAGTATTCACTGTATCACTCTAGGGAAGACAATATTATGATCGATTATTGTAAATATTCAATCGAATTTATCAATCTTAATGACTAGATAATCAATAAAACAAAAGGTACCATTTACATGAATTAAACTTTCATCATACGGTTTTGTCAACTCTACAAGCTTGACAGGAAAACTTACAGTTAGTTGATGTTGCATAAGTCAAGTATTATTATTGTCTACTTGGTCGAACATTGAATGAATGAAATAGTTTTCTGGATGCCTGATTAACTGTCGATTCGAATTTTTAACGTTATCAGAAAGTCTATCTAAATTTAGACTTATTTTTCGTTGCAACGTTAAAAATAGTTTACAGTTATGTAAATTAAATATTTCCTGATTTATTTTCCTTAGGTTATATTTTTTTCCATTCAATTTCTTTCCCATAATATTTATTCCTAATTGTTCATGTATAAAATAGAAAATGGAATTATTTGACTTATTGTAAAACGATGGATGACCTGCAAAATCCAAGTAAATGCAAAAACACTAGTGAGGTCAATTAGAAGAGGTTTTCCACAAATTTTTCCGAATATATATATATATATATATATATATATATATATATTTGTTTTTCATTCATGCTAAACTGATTAGAAGTAGTTTGAAATTTTATTCAGTTAAGGCCCTTTATTGTTAGACAATATCGATTTGTTAGGATATTCATCCAATATCCTTAGAGAACTATTGGTCAACTCTTTTTTTATTAATTCCTACTGGTCAATTTTATGGTCGTCCTGATTATCAATGTCAATTCAAATGTTTTTTCCTATTGATCGCCTTAACTGTCAATATCACAGACTTCGATGCTGTTTCCTGCTCGACCTAAATGTATAAATACGCATTATCTGTAACGTTTTAGGACCCGGACCCAGATCCTCAGTCCGGGATCCTTGCATTCTTCTGGACTCGGACCTCGTACTTTCTGGATGTTTGTAGAAAACAGGACCTACTTCATATCAAGTCTTCTTCTTTTATTCAATGGGGGTTGGGACAATCAGATTACAGTAACATGTCGTGTCGCCGGATCCTCGATCCTTGCTCTCGTTTATTGACTAAGGTAAACTCGTAATAGTTCAAGCATATCAAATTGACATGTTTACTTGCAAACATAACACGATTAACTTCAAATTATGTATGACGATAGATCGGAATAACAAAGCTACTTCATCTTCATACTCTATTGAATGTTATAAATATTGATTTCGCTGATTATAATCAAACATGATCTGCTCACATATTGATTGTTAATGTAATAACCATTGTTAATTATCTCTATCTATCTATCAATCTAACATTCATCAAAACACTTGAAACTTATTAATTTACAATTGAAGCAGAAAAAATTTTTTTTATTATATTCATGCCAAAAAACTATCTGAATAATAAGTAGTTTTGAAAAAAGTATACAATAATTTTCAAATTCATTTTTCAACCATAAAACAAAGAATATAAACTGTTATTGAGAAGAAATTGTCAATGAAAAAGTTGATCTTGGAATAGAAACTACATTTCTCTGTTGTTATTGCTGTTGTTGTTGTTGTTGTTGATAGTTGGCATATAGAAATTTTATAATATTTTATTTGGCCATCAGCTATTAGGTCAGGTTAAGCAAAATATCAGCTAATTCATAATAATAATAATAATAATAATAATAATAATAATAACAATAATAATAACAATATATCAGATAGTTATAACTTTAACTAATTATAGAGAATAGAAAAAAACAATAGTACACTGATAAAAATTTGATTGGTATGTGATGTTTTTTTAGATAATAATAATAATAATAAAATAAACAGAAATAATTTCATACAAATTGAGTAATAGAAAAGTCTAATTATCATTGTTTATTGTAGATAACTTGTAGTTCTGTCTCTATCCCATGCTCGATCAAGTTCTTCTGAACATTGATTAGGACCAATAACGGTGACTGGAATGAGTGGATGTCTTGTATTGTTCAAGTAATGCTGTATTTACAACAACAACAACAAAAAATAGAACAATGTAAAACATGAAAAAAAGTAGTAATTTTTATCAAACATTAAAATACACTACGAGATGTTGATCTTTGTCAGTGGAAAAACACATTAGTAATAAATTGTTTACTTCCATGTAGGGGCGTTGGAATACTCAGATTCCAAACCGATACTGTCCATGAGCTCGCAGGACTATGATGGGATGATTGGCATATGAACTTATTGTTGGCGACCGGCTACCATGAGATTGCATCTCCCGTGGTTGCTCCGCTGCCTGATGGATTAGATGTTTGGGTTAAAGGCTTTCAGTGTAGCCTCCTAAGAAAAGCACTTATTTCGGTTTGGGTACCCATGCAGTGTCCTAGTACAGGCATAAATTTAATAACTTTCTTGACTTATATAAATTTTAATGCCCCTTTGTACTAATTTTCATAAGTCCAAATAAATTAGAAATAAAATAAGATCTAGAATGTCAATTTAATAACTGACCCGTTGATAAACATAATCAGAAATTTGTCTAAATGTAGTTGCTGAGGTTGAAAAGTCAAACATATAATTTGAAGTTTTAAAGGTTCACAGAAATAGCTTTTATATCTACCATTTAATTAATGTCTAAGTAATATTTACTTGATGAAACTTAACTTAAATTTAGTTGAATTTTTTTTAAAGATTGGCATAACAAAGTGCATTGTCATGTCTTCTGAAGTAATGAACTAATTCAAATATGTATGATCTAATTTCTCTTACGAATATCACCTAATTTATTTCTCTTATTAATCTAATTCAATCCTATGTAGTTAGACAACATAAAAATCAATATGGCCTGGAAATATGAATCCGAACTACAGAGAATATGAATAAAATGACTGAAGAAATGATCGTGTATGACATCACATTCAAAAGCTAGATTTCTGAAGAATTATAACGAATAGTCATATTAAATAAATCAATCTGTTTGATATGAGATTATAACTAAACTGAAATGCAAAAATTAATCATCTCACATGTGCATATGAAAGAGCATTTTGTTTTTCACATGGTGAACATTTACTTCCAATATAAACGAATAAATGATATCCTGTATCGATGAAAAACACATCATCTTCATTGATTGATCTTTTAGGTAGTTGATTTTTCACAACTAAATCAAATGATAAATGACCATCTTCATCGGATAATCTGTAAATAAAAATTTGAAGAGAAAAAAAAACAAACAGAAACAGTTTCCAGTGATTTATTTTAACATTGAAAGATGCTGAGGCGGACAGGGGATTAAATTTATTGTGGAAGTAATCACAGTACATTATTATCTAAAGTCTTCTATTAAAATTGAATATTGAAATAATTTGGTTTAACCAGTTTAACTTCTGAATCTCAGATCGCATTGATCATATGAACGTAAACTTTTGTTTGGCAGACAGACGAATTGCATCAACAAAGCACTTCATGTCGTTCAAGTATATTTAGAAGATTTTATTGAGCGAAACATTTATGTACTACTCATAAGGACATGAAGTAATTTACAAAAATAAACGATAAATGCTCTTCCATTTTGTAAAATGTGTCACTGATACATTATTTCATGATTCTAAATTCAATTATCAGCTAGATAATTGTTCAAAACACATTAAAACTTTCGGAATACAAAGCTTTAAACACTTGTCTTACTTAAACCAGTTGACTTCAGTGATGCGATACCCCTAAACGCTCTCAAACTATTCACATACAAAGGTGGCAGTTTTACATAGGTCAATTCGTAAACTTTCTTTTGACTCATTTATAATCTGCTACATAAATTTTTAGTTTATTAACCGTAATTGTTCAACAAAGTTCAATATGTAAGCTTATTGGAACTTTCCAGTTGTAATATATTATAGTCGTATTATTCATGCGTTTAAGCCTCGTGAGTCATTAATTAAAATCACGAAAGTTATAGTCGCTAATCATCTTTTCTGTTGTTCTGGATTAAAGAACAAGGAGGTAAGTGGAGTGGATTCTTTACTCTGACAAAAGTTTGAAAATGCTGTAATCACAAGCGAAAGAGATTATTGTTCTTGTTATTGGAATTGAATTTCTTTTATGAATATCATTTCGTATACAAAGTTATTCATTATACTACTCTCAGAACTAAACATAAATTTATTCATCACTAGTTGTATTATGTTCAATAAAAAAAATCAGCCATAAACGGTCTTATAATCACGATCAATTGATTTTTTTTTCATGAAAAAGCTTTAAGAAATTATTTCAATGGATAAATTAGTGACAAACACATTCATATCAGTAAGATGGGAATAATCAAAATGGCTAATGTGAAACTAACTTGTAAATACATTTCGTTGATTCATAGTATTTTTTAGATTTGTAAACTGGTTTGTCAGGCAAATAATGCAAGAATTCATCCTAGAATATCAAATGATTTAAGAAAGAAATTCATGAGTAAAATATTTTTCTGTAATGAGAATTATTATTACTCAATATGAATGTTTTAAATGTGATATATTTTGAAAGTTTTGGAACAGTACGAGAGACTCTTTGTATAATAAACTATGATTTTGTCATTATTATTATTTTCTATGATATAAAACCATTTTTATTGTGATACGATGTGATGTGATAGTTCGTGTGCAATAACATACTACTACTAGATGTTATAAGTAGCTTAAATAGGTTACAATACGTTTTAACATTTACTGGTCACAAATGATAATTCAAATCTTCCTAATAAATTTTCTTTGCAGAATGAAAGTTTTTATGGTAAAGGTTTTATCCAAATTCATCCTAGCTTAACCATACAGAGATCTTTTAGTCTAATTAAAGGCAAAAAATGAATGATAAAGAAAAAGCTACTGGAAATCTAATGTTACCTAATCACAAAATTGTTATAGAATAGATAGCCAGTGGCTTGTAGTGGAATCTAGGGTTCGCGTTTTGCACAGCTTTAAACTCATCATTTCGATGTGCATCGATCCCAGATGCCAACTGAGATTGACCTAATTCCAGTCAGAAATATCAATCAATCATTATTAGACCACCATTAGAAACCTGGAAGCACTGAACTGCCGTTTCGTCCTGGTATGGGACTCGTCAGCAGTGCGCATCCACGAATCCTTCAAACAAACAATAAATATATTGCATAGCAGTATTATAATTTTGAGACATGTTTTATGACTTTAGAAGAAATGTAAATGCTGCGGTCTTTGATCGTATGTTTCTTTAAAGCCGTGTTCGCACATCGTGGAACGTTCAAGTGTACAGTGTTAAGGTCTTAGGTACTTGGTCAAATTGACATACCGCGTGAGTTTGTGAATTAAATGACTGCTGGTTTGAGCCGAATGTGTAGATATGGACTATCTGGTAGGGGTTTCTATGAACACTGAGATCAGTGTTTAGAGATGTCGGCTGACTTGGCTGAGGATTGGTCCTTATGATGCATGTGAATTTACTTTTTTGATTACCTCTTGACCTCAAGTTATGCCACACTCTCATGTTTCTTCTCGTTAACCTGAAAATATCTTCTATCGCGACTTTCTCAACAAGAAATGATATTTTGCAAGGAGTGTAAATGATTATATCAAGCCATAATATATGATTTAGTCTGGCAAATTAAATGTGTCTGAAATGTCTTGCTTTATAATCATGAGAAAACCAGTGAAGCATAAAAACTTACATTAGGATTTGTAAATAATTCATCCAATACAGCAGTTTTACATCGTCCATTACGTTCACTACTGATTTTTAGTAAAAATTGAGCAGCCTATGTAAAACAATGAGAAAAGAATGATTAGATTTCTTATGTGCATTACATTGAATCACTTTTTACTATGTTCTGTTATCCAGTTATGTTATCCAACTGATATGCCTGATTAGTGTTCAGAGTTGATATTATGTTAACCACAGAGAATGAAGCAAAGCAGCTCTACTTCAGGAAACATAGTAATTTAAAGTTTAAATAATTTTAAAAATGATGATATTTTATTTAAAATAGGATTGAACTCTTATTGATATCTTAACCATCTCGTTTTATAACTTTATCCAAGTTTTTAATTACACACATTGTCCATAATTTTCTAAGCAATATAAATGAATTTTATTGTAAATAATCAGTAAATTACGTATTTTTAGTTTGACATTTCTGCATTTATCTTCATTATTCAGTAGTTATTTCTGATTAGGATTCCTTGGTTCTCGAATAATCAGGGTCAAACTGGATACATAAATTCTAGCATATATATCATTTAATCAGTGTGTGTCTTGATCTTACATTATCTATCTTAACGGTTGCATATCTATATAACAGATAAATTCTGAACTCAACACCTCGTTAACTATAGAAAAGCATTTCACTCAAAGATATAGATTACTAAGGGTTGTTACTCGTTGTTAATCAAAACTTACATTGTAACGCTCTTCTTTATTACTTTTTGATCCATTCCATTGATATAATTTTGAACCAAGATCAAGAATAAAAACATCAGTAGAATCTAATGAATTGATTGAAAGTTCAACCTCCTGTACTTCACAATGTCCTCTGCCTTCTTGATGGAAATGTAACAATCTTGGCTGATATTCATTTGGAGTGACTCGACGAAAACCAGAATCAATTCCACCATTCAGAATGCTACAACATATGAAGAAGTTAGTAAGGAACTTATGCTTTAGTTCATTTCCATAATGTTAAGCTTACAAGATATTTTAAATTCATATTTAATATTGACTTGACTAATTATTATTTGTTCTCTTTCATAAATGAAGAACAATATAGAGTTTATTTGAACTGATTACTCGAACAGAAGAGAAAAATGACTAGATATCACAATTATTTATTTCAGAAAGGTAGATATAATAAAATGGACTATTTCTAATTAGAATACTCAAAAAGTAACAATACAATTAATGTTTAAGCTTATTCAAGTTAAAAAGATTAAATTTTGAAATGTTTGCTTTTTAACAAGAGAATATTTTCCATGATCCTCCAATTTGCACATTTTCATCATTATAATACAACATTTACTTTTTTTCATGACAAAAAATACACATTAGTTCTAACTCATTCGCATGTATTTTTAGAAGTATAGTTCAGTAGAAAAGTCTGCTAGATCATGTATTCGCATTTAGTAACTGATCAATCTTTTGTAGTTTAGTTGTTTCAGAATTATACACGTATTATAGATATATGTAACTTTAATCTGACAAATGGAATTTTGAAAATGCATACAAATTCGAAAGTTATGATATTTAATCATATTTACACTGAGAATATGATAATATAATGATGATATTAAAGCCTAGATTCAATCAAAATGGAACAGCTTTCATTCTGTATACGGAGAAGGCATGTCTACAAAATTTTTATTTCATTTTTTAAGCATATTTAGAAGCATTTTTGTTTTGAGTGAATAAAAAGTGCTAACAGTTAATGTTAATATGTATTAAAATTTTATTTAGCTGTACCTGATTTGATATGTATTATTGTTTAACAGATGATTACACAGAACAGTTCATTTAAATAAAGATAACATATTTTCTAATGTGTTACATTTTATAACGTTGCATTCTGAAAGTCCACAGTTAAACTAATCTACAGTGTGATCGCATGAAAATTCAATTAGCATAAAGACTGATTTTAAGTCATTAGACCAAATCAACTTCTGCAATTTTAGATGGTTATGTCATGAGTGGCTTGTAAAATTGAAAACATATGTGAAATAAAGTGTAGAATTGGATATGTAAGTATACTATGACTTAAGTTTTTTAATTGTTCAGAAACTAAAACAATCAAACAAACAAAGCGTCATTTTAAAACTGATAAAATCGATTCCGTAAGAAATAAGAATCGTCATTTAGTGAAGCGGTTCCATAAAACTTAACAGAAACTTGAATCTTGAATTTAAAGAAAACTATTGACTATTTCTACACATATATTCTGAGGGAAATTTGTTTATCGTGATTTAATAAAGTTTCTGTTAGTTACCATCACTTGTATATATCATACAGATTTGTAATGTGCTGGAACACATTATCTTAGGACTATTATTTATTCCACTTTAATATTTGAATATATGAGGATTAATCATAAGTAATGTAAAACTCTGTAACTCACCGGAAAGATGAAAAGTAGGATTTAAATAATTTCGTTTCATATTGTTCAACTTCTCGATGCTGAACAGCTCGATCGTCTAGTACTGCATCGAGTTCCACTGTTTTATAGGCAGCTGTAGCATATTCATCCTGTTTAAAGACAATAGGATTTTCATATGTGTGTTATTAGCAAACAGGAACCTATGTTATATAAGATGATACTGACAGAGTTTTACTTTTACGCTAATAAAACAGTTCACTGGCTTAAAAGCAGACTATTTAGCATTAAGTTTAAAACCTCCCTATCCATCACAAAGCATTTCCAATCAGATCGATATGATATCTCCATTTATTTCTAAAGTCTTCTGCTTGTTTCCACAAACTATTTTCAGAATAACCCACTTGTATTAGTTGTTTGAGTTGACTCATTGATGTTTAGCACTTCAATTGATCAATCTTGTTGGGTAATGTGCATCTTGTGCGGAATGCCTCAATATTGCCTTTCGACTACATGCATAATTAGCAGAGGTGAGTAGTGAAAATCAACTGTGAATGCATGCATATCCGGTTGAAGAATTCCAAATAGGACGAAACGCGTGTCGTGGATTCCAATGCTAACTGTTATTCACCTTCGTCAATATTTTCAAAATAGTTTCAACTAGTAATTGATAAACTTATAGTTGTCTCCTGAATGTTTGGAACGGAAACACTCTGTTGAACTCTGATTTGAAAGTGCGCAAGATAAATAAGTCTACAGTACTCAAGAAAGTTAATTTTTAATGTACTTAGTTCTTCTACATACATATTAATCTCTCTACCTAGTGTAAAAGATATGCATCAATGCTTGGTCATTGGAACTAATCTGAAGTTGTGTCAAGATGTAAATCCGTCAATGTTTCTGCACTTAATAGGTTAGTAGAATAAAAACCAGGGTTGAGTAATGTAAGTATTCAAAAGCCTAAACTAATAACTGATAACTAAAAGTTTATGATCGAATTTTATCGTTATTTTTAATTGAAACTAGATTTTTCTTGTGTTTTTTTAACTAGTTAGCGTATTTGAATGAAATGAGCTTGAAGTGAATTCGATAATGTGAATAAGTTTATCATATATGTATGTATTTTAATTATCATTTAGTTGGAAATTAATATTATTCTGGTAGATAAAGTTAATAAAATTCATTTATACATGTTACTGTTAATCGGTCGCTTGGCCTTCCTCAATACTCTATTGACAAAAGACGCTTCTATTATTTACTTACTACAGTCACTGTTCAACACACTATTTACACAAATAAAGATCGACTAATTTTTATTATTATTTTTGGTAAATATTAGTTGTTCTACTTTCAATATAATTCTTAAAATAAAATAAAGAATATAGTTTTTTTTTGATGAAGATATGTTCACCTGATTCAGATTCCTGTTTGCGACAATATTCTATGATCTCATTTAATTTTATGATTGGGTTAATTTACTCGGCTAAGAAAACATTTTGTTAAAATTCAAAATGTATGATTTACGTATTTGTTAAGATTGACGAAATCTCATTAGAATGTAAATACTTTAAACTGTCAACATTTGAGAACAATAACAGTATTTACAAAATACTTTACATTTTAAATGATACTTTTAATTATACTAAAAGATTAATTACATTTCAGCACTGTTAAACATCTATCATAATTGATTACAATACTGTTTTTTTTCGAAGTAGAAGAATTAATAATCGATTTAGAAAGAAGAAACTATATCAAATCAATAAATTATACCATTTTTGTTATGAATTCTATGTATATATTTATTGCATTTATCATGTGATATATAAAGATTTGTATATTCACGATAAAATATTGACAAACTTTACAAGTAAAACACATATTTGTAAAAGAATTCATTTTCATTCTATTTAAGCTCAATAAATTAGTTTAATTTAAATTAAATTTAAATAAAATTAAAAAAAACTAACGAAACATAAAGATTCAAAAATAATTCCTTCATTCTATTAATAGCTTACTTGAGTACTTTTTGATCCAACCCAAAAGTGTACATCATAACCAAGCCCTCCACCTTTTGAATATATATTCAAAACAACATATGAATCACCGTTGAAGAAGTGACCATAGTCACTTTCATTGATTGGTCTAATTTTGAATTTCTAAAGTTGAAATAATGAAGTCATTAATTATTGATGTGTTAGAGAAAACAAATCAAACTTTCTCCAAGAAATGAGTAGCATTGTGTAAGTGATCAATCAAGGAGAGGGGATTAATAACATACTTGTTCAGTTGTTTATAACGGTGATCAAAATTTTATCGAATAATGCACACTGTTGCCATTAATCTAAATGACTTAATATCTTGTTCACTATGTTGATGTGTTAAGAGATTTAAGGTAGTCAACAGTAAACCCGGGATTTAGGTTTTTTCATTTTTCAAGTAATCAGCAAAGTCATTCGGGATAGAATCAGTCAGGGTGCACCCTTCCTCTGTTGACTGAATGTAATCTTTAATGAAAAGTGCCAAAATAACCCGAAACCCTGACTCATGATTTCTTGTCTACTACCTGCAAAAACATAGCATGCACCATTCTAAACTATACTATCTAAACATACACATTATTCGGTGCTTTAACCAGTGACTGAAAAATCTTAGCTTTGATTTTATGAAATGGGAATTATTTCGAATCGCGAGAAATATTTTTAAAACAAAACAAAGAGATAAAGAATAGATTAAATCAAAATAAAATTTTCCCAATTATTATCTACCTCAACTCTCCATACAAATAACCTTGGACAATGTGTATTCAAAACTGGAAGCCAAGCTTCTTCTCGTAACGCGGATTCCTCTAAAATCAAGTGAGATATGAAAATAATTATTGTAAAATGAGTTGTTGTTTTATCGAAAAAATCGGAACCTACTAATTCATTTAGTGAACTAGAGACAACTCAAATAAAAAGTTTTCTTTACGATCCAACCAATTACTTAAGTTGTACAGTTGTATCTATAATAATTTTACACATAGTGGTCTCTGGCAAATACAAAAGTATTGCGTCATCAACAAGGGTAATGAGAAACAGATTAAATAAAATTAACAAGCAAGAAGATGTAACCGAGAATTATCGACTTGACTAAGTATAGAGAAAGTAGAGAAGAAATGAATGAGTAATGAAAACAGTCACCAAAATTCGAAAAAGAGTTAAGTCGATGATAAAATTCATAAATCCTGTGCTGTAGATAAATTGTTTATCCGACCCCTATTAGGGGTAGTTCATTTGTCTGTACGGATAATCTTAAAGGTAGAGTCTGGTAGGATAGCTGTTCGTCATATCCATCGGTCTAATTTTATTCAATTCTTTGCCGATCGTCTTTTTAGCCGATTTATTTTCGTTTCCGATAGAACTCAACTTTTGAAATTCATCTATTGCCCACACCAGTTTGACTTTCTATATGTTTTCTTTTCATTAAAGTGTATTAAAGAAGTGAAATTCTTTACTTCACTTGACTCCTTGGTAAATACAATCTCCTAGTAGCACATATTAAATTCAGGTAGAGTTCTGCTGAGATTTTTATTTTCATCACAGACGATGGAGATGTTATCCATATATCTATTGCAGAAATAGAAATTTGATTGTCGACGAGAGAATAAATCAGCCATCAAACTGTTTGATAAAATAGAATTTAGTGAAGATTCCAATTCATCGTCACCAGTTTGCCCGTAGAACAAATCGTTATATCTAAATTGTACATTGAGATTACAAGTCATTCTGCATGAGGATGCTTTGCAATAAAGATGTTGATAATGGCATTTTCAAGAATTGTTTTTCTTGAGGAACAAAACATTTCTCAGAGAAGTAATCATGAAGGGTGAGGTAACATTTTGTGATTTACTCCGCTTTCGACTAGATATATTGACGTCTGCTTTCGAATCGATGAAGGAAAAGGGATCAAAACTCCTATCCTCTGAATAGTTGAAAATTTTCCACCCATCAGTCGGCAGTTATTTACATCCATTATTAACAAAGTACCCGTTTAAAATCTAAATTAATCATGCATCAAGCGGAAACTAATATCTTCTGGTCCAGTCCTCAATGTAACCTACGTTATATCGTTCAAGTATCTAATACAGTCATTTGACTAAACAACTCAACAACACAATGTACTTATGTGATAGTATGTGGTTGAAGTAAACGAGCAAGAAAGCGGTGACTTATGTTTGGTGCCAGTTCACACTTCACAGTCTGCTTATAAAAACTAGAGTATTTTTATTCACTAACAACCAGCATAATACTAGCATTCAAGTGCTGTAAATGTCTCAGGTCTATGAGAGTCTTAAGTAGACTGGTGGTAATAGCAGTGATTATCGCACTGAGTGAGATCAGCCTCAGCCTGTAAGGAAGGATTTTGTGTTTTGACAAACCTTTCACATAAATAAAGAACTTTTTGATTTAGTTAGGCTTTTAATATTGATTTCTTTACTTCATTCTACAATTCAATTATTTAATTGTATTTTGCAAATAAATTTTGGTTATTTCTTTATATAAGTTAGTTTGAAGTGTACATTAAAAAAAAACTTTTTGTTATATTTTAAAAACGGAATAAAATATCTTAAAAGATGCATATTAGTTAACCCTGATTTTTTTTCAATAATTTACTTTTGCCAATAAAATCTACGTAGACAACAAAAAATTTGCGTTTATCTAGTTTTGTTTCGTATATATATAGTTTTAGTTAAATAATCAGTATGACAATTTATTTGTGAAAATAAGCCTCTTAGAGTTTAGAAAATTTCTAACAGTCTGTATTGTTCACACTCAATGTACAATATTCAAACATCGACTTTTACTTATCACTGTCTACTTTGTAAACAAAACTGCTACTTCAACTTTATCTGTAACAATCTTAACAGTGAGACTCAACAATGTTTTGTTTTAATGATAATTGTTACTGATCCGCATGTTAGTATGCAACTTGCGAGTACCTTGCTTAAAGGGTTAAAAAATGGTACGGTCAACTGTAAACAGTAAGTGTTGGACGATGTAAAGTATGATTAAACCAAAAAAGTTTATCAGTGAAAAAACAGTAGTTAAAATAACCGAATCCATGTATTTCTATTTCTTTCACTTTCGTATTTGAAAATTTCATTGTTTCAAATGGAGGCAATCTCACTGAGCTTTCTTTTGATCGTTAAAGGTCAACTAATAATCATGCCAGGAGTGTAGTTTTGACCGTACAAGAAATTCACAATTAGTTTAAACTAGCTATGTACTTGTGCAGTTGGGATCTGTTTGTGTGCAGATAGTTGAAAGTGATTAGTCACTGAGTGAAAGGTTATAGTGGACTTTGCAAGTTATGGTCGTTGTAATAAGATAAAACTTTAATAAGAATCAAGAACTTCTCCGTATTTAGGTTTAGGCTACAATATCACCGACTCTAAATTCTTGAACCTGATGTCTAAACTCTTTAAAGAAGAGATGCGACCGACCACATAGGCTAATTTGTTTCTTCTAACAACTCCAGTCGTTCATAAAGAATAAACTGTAAAGCATCAACTTATTCTGCCCTGTCTCATAACTATTATGTGGTTATAATGGTTTAATCAAATTAAGTATGAAACAATTCAAAATATTCCTATCCATCTTACTGATCATTGTGACCATAAAGTCGATCATCAACAATGCATTTTATAACCAACGTGACTTTCGCCGGAAATTTAAAAACAACTTTAAAAAAACGGAAGATTAATTGTTATTATTTAATACTAGTTGAAATTGCATGAATAACAAAATTATTACTTATAAAAATAAACAAGAAGAAGAAAACGTCACTGATTTAATCAACTCATATTGAATGCCAAATTCTAAACCTAGATTTAGAATACAGTTAAAAAAGAAAGGTAATAATATTTCATATTAATGATATAACTAAGATCATCTGTCAATATCTCTATCATAAATTTGGATTGACAATATTTACAGGAATTCCTGTATGTTTAAATATGAATCATAGTAAGTTTTTAGTTGTCGTATGTAAATACAATAACATTATGCTAGAATGAATACCTCCATCAATCAGTCATTCAGTGTGACATCATTTTTTTACTGAATATTTCATATGATTATTATTATTATTATTATTATTATTATTACTAGTAGTAGATTTATGTGTTATTTAACCAAAAATAATAATTCTCTGATACATTTTCAATTTTATTCATTTTTAATCTGACAATTTTACTGTCTTTTTGTAATTCCCACAGTTAATGAGACTAGCTCATTAAAAGAAAATCTAAATTTTTTTTTAACGATTATATTCAATATTCATTGTGTTAGTGACAAGTCGACTAAGGGTAATATTTCCAAAAAATCGATACGAAGCAAGTAAAATGATAATAATAAAAGTTTAACTGTATTCATCACCATAAAAAATGTTATTTAATGTAAAATATTATCGTATTATTAAGAGTTGTGAATATTCGCAGTAGTTACACTCTTGTTTCAAAAAAAAAACTTATCAACTGTCAGAGACTCATTAAATTTCTTACGTTTTGTATCAATTGACTGACATTAGTAAAATAATTTTTTTATGTAATGTTCGTTGTTAATGACAGAGAGAAATTTAGAAAATTAAACTAATAAACAAAAAAAAGATAAAATCTTTATGCTTTAAAACATTTTTACTACTTCAGATTTATTTTATTAATTTAAGAAGCTGTTCATCAAATGAAATGTTGTATAACTAAACTTCTAATGTTTATTGATTTAATGTACTATTCAAATATTTAGAACAAAATTCTATGTAAACCAGTTGTGTTCTACTCTTCTTTAGATCATTTTTAGTGACTAGTGCTTTATTAGTATTTACTTCAATCTACTTTTCATTTATATTTAATTAGAATGTATGGATGTCGATTAAGTATTGTGAATTGATAAAAATATTAATTCAACATACTATAGTGGTTATTAATTTAAACAAATATTGGAATTTAATTATCAATGTGGCAGTATTTCGAATTTTTTATAATGAAAGATTTTGATTTTAAAGTGGGTTAAAAGAGGAATTAAAAGGTTAATCTAATGACCATTACTGAGTAGGGTGCGATTTGTACAAGGAAAGAATAGTTCGTGGTGTTTTGTTCCCTGAGCTCAGAGAAAGAAACAACACCATAATCATCCATCTGAGCAACAAATTTTCTCCATTATCTCGAAGAATAGCTCACATTGTAATTATTTATCAGAAGCTTTGTTGAAAATAAAATCAAAATGATTTTTAAGTACATATTTTTCACTAGAACAAAACTAATGTAAAGTACCATGTGATAAAATTATTTAGAATGAAAAAATTTATTCTACAGAATAATCCTATAAGCATATTTAGATTTGTTTATGATTCAATTGTGAACATGGTAAATGATGCGTATTCATCCATTAATCATTGAACACCAGTCATTTGAAGAGTAAATGCCAAATTTATTTTTTGATTAATAGAATAAATATGCATTATGGAGTGGTCGAGATGGTTGAGTTACTTTGTGAAGTCATGAATCGATCAGTGTTAGATCACCAGTAGAAATTTAGAAGCACGGGACGGCCGTTTCTTCCTGGTATGGGACGCATCAGCAGTGCGCATTCACAGATCCTGCAACTCGCAGGATTTGAAGCCAGGACCTTCGGTCTTGCGCGTGAACACCAAACTTTGGACCACTGAGCCGGTATCTAACGGTGTTAATGTCTAACCTCGATCAATCCATAGTCTTGCGCAACCTCATCCACTGTCTTTAGTGCTCACTGCTTCACACCCGAACAGGGTTGAACTCCATTGGTCATACTTTCTCAACAGAACTCGAAGAAACTTTCTTACAGATGAATATATAACAATTTTACAAGAAATAATAGTAAATCAGGAACTTTATCATACACACTAAAGAAATGAAATCAAACATATCAGTTAAATAATATTTTTTAAATTTTAGTTAATATTTAATATAAATAGAGGCTTTAAATAATATAATCATGATCTATTGATGATAAATTAATGGTACGTTTTCCACAAAATTTTAGTGCAGATAATCACTTATTGTAAATTATAATTGCATTTCGAAAGATGTTTTACTACTTGACCTACATTTACTTAATAAATGTTGCATTAAAATATAAAATTCCTATCGATTCACTTTGAATTTTCTAAATAGTTTTATATTCGTTTATATATAAAAATATGTAATTTTCATTTCAATCCTTAATTTTCACAGTATAAGAGATGAAACATGTGAGCTGAATCCAAGACACCATTTTATATTGATTCATTTCGAAAACTGCATGAAAATAAAAGTGGCTATCATAGAACAGAAAATTAATTTTTAAACTGATATTCCCTAATATTTCATTTTCTAAAATAAAATGTAAACGAATTGAAAGACTGAATCTTAGTATAATATTTTTCTACAAATCAGTTGCTGTAATGTTTAATAGATATTGAGTTAGATAAAGTTACTCATACTAAGAAATAATTGTTACCGCTTAAAATTTATACCAATTCTAACCAATTACTTAAAATAAGACCATTTGTGTAAAAAGTGACGAAATACAGCACACATATTTTTAATTCTTTTCATTTCGTGATTTTGAAGTTTCCTAAAAGATTATTTATTTATTTAATATTACGTGATATCGTGTCAGTCGAAAACAAACACCAGTTAAAATTTGTTTTACACTTATTATTATTTTGTAATATTCATTCAAAAGATAGAAAAATGTTTTTTTTACACGAACACAGCAAGAAAATCTTATTTCTTTTATGTAATCATTATATATTCCCTAGTTGTAACCTTGCAATCTGAGTTTTGAAAATGATAATTTAATAAATGCATCATTTAATTACAGTGGATAAGTTTTGCAGTTATTTAATTGAAGTGAAGTTAACAGTTGATAGGTTAATATGTAAAGATTAATCTTGGATAAAGTTTTATAATTTGATGTGTATAACTACACTGCTTGAAGAGATAGTCTTGATATCCTATGTACATATACTTTCTCACCACTAAACAAAATTTATAACTTCTACTATGCAATAGGTGTAGTTGAAAAATTTCATGTACTTTCAAATCGATTTAGTAGGAACTAGACATATTAAATAAACTGTGTGCAGAGACTCAGAAACATACTGTGGATATATGCATATGTATAACATTAAGTCCTGAATTCATTTATAAGTAGTGAGTAACAATCGTTAATCTAAATGCAAACATTTCATTTTTTTTATAGATATGTTCGGTATTTTCAACCAACTCATGCAATCAGTTATTTATCATATAGGTTTAAACAAATATATGGATTATACAATCAAGGATAATTATCAATAACAAATAATTGGTAGTCAGTTAGTTTAGCAATCAGGAGGAACTAATTGAAAACAACTATTCCTTCTTTCTGTTCATATTCCTTATGCCTCAATAGGGAATATTTGTTAAATAAATACACAATCTAATCAATAAATACAAGTAATTTTCTCGATAAAATATTTTAGAAAAAAAAACTTACTCTTAACTTTTTTATCTTCATCACTTCCGAACAAAGCTAGATTCATTCCTCGCCAACTATAGTCTTGACTAGGTGTAGACAATGCCATAATAATAAATTAATTTATCGTTTGAAATTTGCTTTATATGATGTATATTTAATTCGAGAGTAAATTTCGAATAGTTCTCCTTGGAATATACGTTTTACTATGTATGTGAAGCACTCAAAAACAACAATTTCTACATTAAATAAATATTCATTTCAATTATGCGACATTTATAGGTTTGTATCTATTTGTGTAGGCGCATAGTTGTTCTCAAATTATGTACTATTTAACTAAGATTCCTGTTCAACATTTAGTATTGGTTTGAATTAGTTAAACATAATGTGTGCATGTGTTTGTGGGTATGTGAGTAATATTTATGCTAACCATGTGTTATTATGCATAAGTGAAACAGTTATTGAGATAAAATGCTAAAATAACGTAAACTACAGATATAGCCATCCAATTTGCAGTCCTTTGAATAACATATATTTGATATAATAATGGGTTAGATTACTAGAGGATTTTTACAGTGAATAGACTTTACTAACTTATATTTTTATTTCTATCCATTTCTCATGGTTTATTTAGTTAGAAGTTTACTATAATTTTAAATAGCTTCATCTCGAAAATTGTTCAACAAATAAGGTTTCTTGTCTCAAGTGTACTTTTAAAGATTTATGATCACGGTTTTTACTAGTAACTTCAAATTAAGACACAAGTGGTGTGAATGTTCGTATGATTTTATCATGAAAATGGCGGTTCTTTAGATTAAAAAAGGACGTGGGGTTAATAAATATTCTGAATCAAATTTATTATGTTTATATTTCGTGATTACAGCTTAGTCGTGAGGTATGTTCCCATATACAAAAAGATGATTCGTTAAATATTGAAAGATGCGAAAATGTTACAACAATTAGATCGCTAATTATTTCTTATATGTCCTGTTTAGGAACTAATACCATCTGTTAGGTTCGTCACTAGGTACGCTTGAAACTATTACGGGTTCACCTTAGTCGATAAACGCGAACGAGACAATGAACCAGAGTCCAGGTAGGCTACCTTGATCTGAAACGGCTAAAGAGAAGTCTTGATAAGCGTGTAAAGTATATTTTACAACACCCAGCAAGCACAATGCAATCAAGCACACGAATCTCGTTTATTTATACATCATAGAAACGTCGTTGGAACAGTCACAAAAATAGCACACTAAAATACACAGCAGCCAATCACAGCCAAGGACTTTGCTGGTGGGAAATGAAATCTCAAGGTCAACTGATCAGCCCATGCTCGCAAATGTGAAATCCAGAATAAGGCATTTATCAAGCGAGTTCTGGGGATCTAACGTCTTCAACACTGTTATTAACTGTGTTACAGGCTTTTGTAATATATGATACTAGAAAAAATTAGGTTAGTAAAAAGTGTGAGCAACGATCACATTCAGATATGGTATATGAATACAATTAAGCTGTTTTTGAAGCTATCATTACTAAGTAACGGACTGAAACCATGATTAATGAAGTAAATTTTATTTTACCTAACTGTAAAGCTTTACATTTAAAATTGACTAGTTTCTTTGCAGGTTTGACATTGAAATATAAAATATCTATTTTCAGTCTAGTGTGTAAATTTCCTAATTTGTTCAAGGCAAACACCAAGATTTGCTGATGAAAAGTTACATCTAACAAACAAATAAAGTTCAAAATGAATGTAGATTTTTTTTTGAAAAACCACAACCAAACTGGTCTAAGAGTTTAATGACCTCAAAGACAGGAAACATTTGTTAGCTGACTCACTGACATATGTACTTTGTTCAGTTATAGTTCTTTTTCAAAGGTTTTAAAAGTAAATGAAGATGAGAAAATATACGTCAAAGATTTCAGTATCAGTAGCTATTTAAATCTCATTTAAATATATCTGTGAAATAATATTTGTCTGTTGAGTATCAAAGTGACCAGATTAAAGAACTTTCACAATGAACAGTAGTGGAATTATCGGTTTCCACGACTAGCTATGCTTAGACATACACGATGATATTCTTATTTTTTATAAACCTAAAAGTTTCTATATATTCTTAACTTATATTCAGTTTATTTCATTTGGCTGTGTTAAGTCATTCTATGTATAAGTAAATTTTATACTAATATAACTTTATTCTGATTAAATATTAATTTTTACACATTTGAAATCATCAGTCAATCATTGTTAGACCACCATTAGAAACCTGGAATCACAGGACGGCCGTTTCGTCCTGGTATGGGACTTATTAGCAGTGTGCATCCATTACCTACTATCTATACTGAAACTAAGCTGTTGCCAAACTAAAAATCCTATGCAAAATAACTTGCTGAAAAACTAAAATGTTGACAAATTCTCGCTAAATCTTATGGTTACGATATCTATAAGCTTACTGGTAACTGCCAAGACTACTACACTGAACAAACAAAAAGGAAAGTTTATCTTAAACCTTCCGAACATTTTCCGAAAGGACTCTCGATCAAGAGAAAGGGGTATTTTAAATAGTTTAACCTCTAAACATCTTGTAAACATATGACATCAACTTGATACACTGAAACCTTTGAAAGTGATCAATAAATAGCCAAATTTTATGAAGCTATCGATGTGAGGATTCAGAAATCTGATTTTTGTGTTCAACATGAAACTGTTGTTAATCTTTCTTTTATCGTACAATAAAATTCTTTTCAATTTTTTCACATAACTGACCACATAACTTCATTTTATTGATAGTCATTCAAATCAATGATTTTATTTTGACTAACTGAGCTTTACTCATTTTATTCTTACTTATTATTAGTTTTTACTTACTACACAATGACTTGTTCTTAGCTCTTTGGTCTCATCAGTGTTACCAAATATTCTGTCACATAAGACATTAATTTACAATATTTTTAATGAATTTCTTACATTTATTCACATCCTTACTATGTTATAATGATGTGTGTTAATAGTTATTTCCAACTAAATTCATTTATGTAAATAATTTGATCTTATTGTGTAATTTATGACTAAAATATTACAGTATGTAAACAGCAGATGAGAACAAAAAATATAAATTTGATGTCATTGTTTTCAAAACGCTGTCCATGCTCTTCTAAGGTGACAAAAGAAACTACGTATTTGACTAAAATTTGTTTGCAACTGAAAAGATTTATTATTTGTAAGCATTACTTACTTATTTCATACTCAAATATATTTGAGCATTTGAAAGCATTCCATTGGTTTATTAAACTCAGGTAGTAAATAGGAAGACAATAAACCGTGAAGTGACAGAGACATGCTAAATCTTAAACTTGTAAAAATTTTAACATGGATTACGACAGATAACTCACTATATAAATTCACCTTCAATCGGCAAGGGTAATTTTACATTTATCTGCAGGAGAACCAGACATTGCCCACGTGTTGACACTACAACATGAACAGTTCAGCTCAATCCTGTAGCGCAACCACACAGGTACCTAACACACTGTTGGACCATTTATATACACCAATACATATAGTGATTATTTCTGATCCATGATCGCATCAATCAGTATGCACAGCATGAAAAGGTCAATTCGACTCATCCCACTTACATGAATGTCAGACTCATTATTATTAGAAATTATGATATGTAATACAACACCCCAATCACAATGGCCCTTGGGAATGTTACGAGATAACCACCACTGTTAATGAAATCGGCCACCCCTTAAACCAAATTTGTATACGGACTGTTAGCAAAACTTGCCAACGTAATGCCGAACCATCCGCAATGTTCACAACGAACCTCTGGTCTCATAGGAAACCTACAGTTCCATATTGCAATATAGCTTATGGTATATACATTGTATGGCATAAAGATGTATCAAGATGCAGCCCAGTTTGACGCGAATGGGCTCAAACACACTAATTATCCTTTGTCTCATGTCAGGAGAGGTTTTCTTCGCAATAGCGAAATTTTCATTTTTCCGACCATACGAGACCTGTGTTAGGGATAGTATCTCTACAATTAATAACTATTTACCTTAATTCCTACTATGATCATTATAACATTTTTAGCATCTCTAAATTATGTATAAAGCCACCAAATGTGATTGATTCATAATAATTTCAATTCACAACTATATTTTCAATTCTCACTAGTAACTAACACCCTCATCAAGTTAATAATATGTATAAAGTAGAATGAGATATAACGTAGTTTGCACAAGTAACTGAGTGAAATAACGACGGGTTACTAATAGAACTGCTGATATTTATGTTGATTATTTGGCTGTATTTTAGTATTTTCAAGTAAATTGTTCAATAAGTAAACTGAGAAAGTAACTGGGAATAAAATATTTATATAACTTGGCATGACGTTCTTAACAGAAAAAACTTGTAGCAATTGTTTGATCTATAGTTTACATAAAGGACTAACTAGTTTTGTACAACGAGTGAAAACTGTAAATAGAACAACCTCCAAGAAACATTCTTCACTAACAGTATTCAGATTCATCTTAATGATAATCATGAGAGTACATTTTCCAAGTTCTGGTGGAAAGGTATGATCAGTGTATTTCAACCATATTAGGTGAAAGATAGATATACTTAGAAGCAATGAATAAAGGTCGTATAGTATTGTGAATTAATTCGAGTTAGAGATCTAAATCACTGTATGCTAGTCTGGCGTTGTGTGTGTTAAGAGCCAGAGCTGGATCCTGAAGTCATGTTTTAAATCCTTGGTTGTACCTCGATCACCAATGTGAGTCCTACACTATAACAAATCAGCTTTCTAGTGTATCCTACTTTTCGACTATTGTCTGATCTGTGATTTAAACTACGAGTTACTTATTCGTGGCAGTCACTTTAAATAACTGCAACAGCTAACTTTGTATAATAAAAAATTTAGTTTTTTTCAAAATCAATCAAAAACCATCACTATGGTAATCAGTAATGGACTAATAATAAATACATGAGTTTTTATGACCTTTTAAATAGGTAACATTCAATAAATTTGAACACATTTTTTATAACTCACTGTTTCTTCTGATATTTGCACGATGTACAGTTGTACTTTGAAAACTTGAGTATCACTGATTCTTAAATTCATTTGAATTTATTCTAAAATACAAATTAAATCTTTCCCTATTTTCATTTGATGAAAATACTTTGGTGTATGCATTAACAGAGGTTAGTTACAATTAAAGGTAACTGTATATACCTGCATTTCCAGTTCGATAGAATTATTTATGTAATTATTTTCCT